TATGCATTGTGGGACTCGAACCCACCTAATCTCATTGGAAGTGAGAAAGTTTACCAGATAACCTAAATGCATTATAATTAAAATTTTATAATAATTTAAAAATAATTTAAAAATAATTAAAAAATAATTAAAATTTTATAATAATTTAAAAATAATTTAAAAATAATTAAAAAATAATTAAAATTTTATAATAATTAAAAAATAATTAAAAAATAATTAAAATTTTATAATAATTAAAAAATAATTAAAAAATAATTAAAATAAATAAACCTATTGAAATAATAATCTCTAAAATAAACTTAAAAAAATAATAATTAATAAAATAATAAATTTAATAAAAATAAATTAATCTATTTAAAAAAATAGTGCTATAAACACACATCTTTAAAATAAATTCAAAAATATAATTATTAATAAAATAATAAATTTAATAAATTTAATAAAATAAATAAACCTATTGAAATAATAATCTCTAAAATAAACTTAAAAATATAATAATTAATAAAATAATAAATTTAATAAAATTAATAAAATTAATAAAATTAATAAAATTAATAAAATTAATAAAATTAATAAAATTAATAAAATTAATAAAATAAATAAACCTATTGAAATAATAATCTCTAAAATAAACTTAAAAAAGAATAAAACCTAAAAAATATAATTATTAATAAAATAATAAATTTAATAAATTTAATAAAAATAAATAAAATTAATAAAATAAATAAACCTATTGAAATAATAATCTTTAAAATAAACTTAAAAAAGAATAAAACCTAAAAAATATAATAATGAATATAAATATATAATTTAGGAAATAATTAATAAAAGAGTTTGCTCCATTAGAATAATTAGCTCAATTTATTAATTTTTTTTATTTATAAATTAGAATAAAATGACAATATTATTATTTATTAAATAATTAATTTATAATTAAATTTTTATTTATAATTAATGAATTATATTATTTTAATAAAGAATTAAAATATAAAATGATAATATTATTATTTAATAAATAATTAATTTATAATTAAATTTTTATTTATAATTAATAAATTATATTATTTTAATAAAAAATTAAAATATAAAATAATATAAAATTATATAAAATAATATAAAATTATATAAATAAATATATAAAAAATTAGAATAAAAAATGATAATTAAAATTTAATATTCTTTTCATCCGGCTCCTCCTTCCGGAAGCGCCACCTTGCTATGACTTACGGGAAATCTCTTTTGGTCCTTAATAAATATAAAATAAAAATTTCGAAAAAAATTTATTTGATATAAACTTTGGGTACCTCCGTGTTTTACCCGGTGACAGACAGTGTATACTTCAGAGATTGCTCTATTCACCATGCCTTTTATGATACATGATTACTGCTGAATCCTGCTTAATGAAGACGAATTTCAGTCTTCAATCCGAACATAGTTATATAATAGAAGTTATTTAATTATTAGTATAATTTTGCAATATAACTAAATATATGTTAACTTCATTGTAATACATGTGTAGCCCTAATTATAAGAACCATAACGGCCTGGCGTTATCTATACCTTCCTCTATTTTAATCAATAGCGGTATTTTATTAGTGCATTTAATAAAAAATTAAATTAGCAAAATAAAAAATAGGTTACGTAAGTTAAAGGAATGAACCAAACATTTCAAAACACTTACTTACGACGGCCATGCAGTATCTGAAAAATTAATAATAAAAATTATAAAAATTAATAATAAAAATTATAAAAATTAATAATAAAAATTATTAAAATTAATAATAAAAATTATAAAAATTAATAATAAAAATTATTAAAATTACTAAATTAGGTAAGGTTTCACGCGGATTGTCATATTAAACCACATATTCCTCCAGTAAGATATCTCTAACAGTTAATTTGTTTGAATTTTAGTCTTGCGACCGTAGTATTCAGGTGGAATGTTTAACGAGTTATCTACAAAAATAATAAAAATCAACTATTTTTTAACATTCATCGTTTACGGCATGGACTACCATGGTATCTAATCATGTTTGCTCCCCATGCTTTCGTGTTTCAACGTCTATATTATTCCAGATTATTGCCTTCGCCTTTTGGTGTTCCTTCTAATTTCTTCACATTCTATCGCTACATTAGACATTCTATAATCCTCTAATAAATACTAGATATTAAGTATATAATCCTTAATTTTATTATTTAAAATTATTTAAAATTATACTTTAAAATCCGCCTACACACCCTTTACACCCCTAATTATATTGGAAAATACTTGAGCCTCACGTTTAACCGCACCTGCTGGCACGTGAATTAGGTGGCCCTTTTAATATATTAATGTCATTATCTTCATATATTATTTATTTTTATTTATATAAAAATATGATTATTTGGCTGTGTCACTCTTCCGAACATTGCACAATATTCATCACTGCTGCTTCGAATTACCGAATCTGATCCGTATCTCAATTTCAGTGTGGCTGATCAAACTTTCATTTCAGCTACTTATCCTCGTCTACGTAGTCTTTTTTACTACCCACTAACTAATAAGTCATAAGCCCCTCTTATATTTTTATTCTTTATTATCCTATTTTTTACAATTTGATAATTTTTTTCTATTACTTTCTTTATAAGATAGGTTCCTATGTTTTACTCACCCGTACGCATTATCACTATATTTATCCTTTTTACAATTTAAATATAGTATATAAATACTTGCATGTGTTAATCCAATAATCTAGCATTCTTCCTGCGCCACAATCAAACGCTATTTAGTTTTAAGAAGATTCGAACTTCCATTTTTTTAATATATTTTTTATTTTATAATATATTTCAAAAATCCTAATAATTATCTCTATATTATTATAGAGAATATTATATAAAACTAAAAAAATTATAATAATATTATTATTTAATTATTTAATTATTTAATTATTTAATTATTTAATTATTTAATTATTTAATTTTTTATAAAATTTATTAAAATTATTTAATTAATAATAAGTTATTATTATAATAATGATTCTTTTTATTATATAATTTTTATCATTTAATAATATGTTTCTAAAATAATATCTAAATTACTATAGTAAAAAAATTTATTTTATTTTATATTTTATTTTATATTTTATTTATTTATAACAAATTTATTATATTTTATTAATTATTATTATAATATTATTTTATATTTTTATTAATTATTTTTTATATTTTATTAATTTATATTTTATTAATTTATATTTAATTAATTTATTTTTTATTATTTTCTTAATTCATATTTCAGCAAATATGAGCAAATATTATTTAAATAAATTTTATAAATTTTATTAATTTATATTTTATTAATTTATATTTTATTAATTTATATTTTATTAATTTATATTTTATTAATTTATAAATAATAATGTTCATTATTATTATATATTTTCCTCTTCAGGCAGGACTTGAACCTACAACCATTTAGTTAACAGCTAAATGCTCTGCCGATTGAGCTACTGAAGAATACACCCATAATATATTTATTTTTAAATATATTTATTTTAAAATATATTTATTTTGAAATATTTAAAATATAATTAGTATAAATATTTCTTAATTTTATATTATTATTTCATTTTATAATTTTATATAAATTTTATATATCTTTCCTATTTTATTAATTATATACCTATTGTGTGTTTATTATATTATTAATATTATTTTATATTATTTTTATATTATTTATTTTTATTTTATTTTATTGATTATATTCCTATTAATTATTTTAAGAGATTTTAATAATTTTATATTATTTTTATATATCTTTCCTATTTTATTAATTATTTATTAAAACTATTTTATTAATTATTTATTAAAACTATTTTATTAATTATTTATTAAAACTATTTTATTAATTATATTCCTATTAATTATTTTAAGAGATTTTTATAATTTTATATTATTTTATATAATTTTATATTATTTTATATTATTTTCCTATTTTATTAATTATTTATCAAAACTATTATATTAATTATATACCTATTAATTATAATAAATATTAATTATATACCTATAAATTATAATAAATAATAATTAAACTAAAAAAAGGAATAGGAGCAAACTATTAAACTAATTATATACCTATTAATTATTTATATAATTTTATATAATTTTATATAATTTTATATTATTTTATATAATTTTATATAATTTTATAATTTAAAATAATAAACCTCTCAAAACTCTTATTAAACTATAAGCCATTTTATCCTATATATTATTTTATTAAACTATAAGCCATTTTATTCTATATATTATTTTATTAATTATGGAGCGTGCTAGAATCGAACTAGCTACTACGCTATGCAACAGCGTGATTTTACCATGTAAACTAACGCCCCTATAATTTAATAATTAGTATATATTTTTTTAATTTATTTTATTTATTAAAATTTATTTAATTTATTTTTATTTATTTAATTTATTTTTATTTATTTATTATTTTTATTTATTAGTAAATATTAGCTATATATTTTATTGCACTATTTTCCTTTCAGGAAAGATAAATAAAATATATAATAACCAAATATATTATAATTAAATATTTGATAAATATATTATAATTAAATATTTGATAAATATATTATAATTAAATATTTGATAAATATATTATAATTAAATATTTGATAAATATATTATATATTAAATAAAATATATAACAGCATGAATGGGATTCGAACCCATGAGTCCGTAGACTACAGTTTTCAAGACTGTCGCATTAACCACTCTGCCATCATGCTTTATAAAAATATAAATATAAATAATAAATAATAATTTAATAATTAATAAATAATTTAATAAATTATTAATAGATTTAATAAAATATAATAATATATTTATAATTATTTATAATTTTTAATAATAGATTTCTTATTTTTATCAATAAAACTAAAAATTATAAATTTTATTATAAAAATTTAATAATTTAAATAAAAATAAAAATAATAATCTCAAATATATACTTAAATATTATTCCCCCTTTAAAAAGAGAGATATATATGAATATATTATAATATTCCTTATTAATTATAAAAAATAACAAATAAATAAAAAATAAATAAGTTATTTAAAAATAAATAATTAATAAAGAATACTAATATATTATATAAATTAAAAAAAATTAAATTAATAATTAATTAAAAATTTAATAAATAATTAAATAAATAATTAAATAATTAAATAAATAATTAAATAAATAATTAATTAAAAATTAAATAAATAATTAAATAAATAATTAAATAATTAAATAAATAATTAAATAAATAATTAATTAAAAATTAAATAAATAATTAAATAATTAAATAAATAATTAAATAATTAATTAAAAATTAAATAAAAGTATTTAATATAGCATCAAAAGTAATCATTAATAAAGGATTTGGATAAAAAATAAAAGATATAAGAATATATAAAGTAGATCCAAGTATTAAAATAGGACTTAAAGATACATTATAATAAATTGATGATGAAGTATTATTATTAGAATTAATATTATTATGATTATTAATATATGATGAAGGAACTTTTCTATAAACAACATCAGCTAAAAATTTAATTAAATAAGTATTATTATTTTTAAAATACATATATTGTATAATTCGAATATAGTAAAAACATGCAATAACAGAAAATAATATAGTTAATGTAGCAATTACAATATAATTATTTTGTATTAATGATAAAAGAATATAATATTTACTAATAAATCCAGCTAAAGGTGGTATACCAGCAATAGAAAATAAACTTAAAGTTAAAGTTAAAGCTAATACAGGTTCCTTTCTAGATAATGCAGATAAATCACTTAAATAATAAGTTGTATTTTTGAAACTGTTTTTATATTTATTAAAATAAATGAATGTAAAAGCAAAAGTATTTAATGAAGTAATAATATATAAAATAATATAAATAAAAGATGTTTGTAAACTATTTAAAGTACCAGGAATTAATCCTAATAATATAAACCCCATATGACTAATAGCAGAATAAGCTAATAATCTTTTAAATTTAGTTTGATTTACGGCTCCTATACTTCCAATTATAACACTTAATAAAGCAGAAAATATAAAAAAAGGTAATAATACACTATTAAATATACCTCAAAATACATTATAAATTAAATTTACTAATAAAGTTAATATGGCGATTTTAGGAACAATAGCAAAAAAAGCAGTAATAATAGTAGGTGAACCTTCATAAACATCTGGTGCTCACATATGAAAAGGTGCTGCTGCTAATTTAAACATTATTGCTATACAAATTAATAAACTTCCTATTTCTACTCCTATTTCATTATTTGTATTTGTATTTATTATTGTATTATTAAATATATAATTTGCTAAATTATCAAAATCTAATATACCAGTACTAATATATATTAAAGCACATCCAAATAATAATATACCTGAACTTAATCCACCCATTATTAAATATTTTAAACCTGCTTCAGTACTTAATTGTCCTGTTCTTTTAAATCCTGCTAATATATACAAACTTAAACTTAATGTTTCTATACTTAAATACATTATTATTAAATCTTTACTTGATATTAATAATAACATACCTAATGTTGCTAATAATATTAATATTGTATATTCATAATCTTTTATTTGTTCATTTTTTTGTTTAAATACCTCTAATGACATTGATAATATTAATATTGTAGTTATTATTACTACACTTTTTACCATTATTGATAAATTATCTATACCTAATATACTACTATTTAATACTTTTTCATTTATTATTATATCTTTAATATCTCATAATAATAATAAAGTTATACATAATACTATTATACCTAATATTGATATTTGTCTCATAATATTCACTATTCCACCTAATTTCGAATAAATTACTCCATATACTAATAATATTACTATACTTATTATTAAAAATATTTCAGGTATTAATATTGTTATATTATTTGTTAATTCATTTATTAACATTATATTATTAAAATTAATATTCATTTTGTTTTATTTTTTTGTTTTAGTTTTATTAAAAATGTAATATATTATTTATTTATTTTATTATATTGCCATTTTTATTATATTATAATATTTTAATAAAATTTATAAATTTTATTTTTTATATAAATTATTTAAATATTATTTTATTTAAATATTATTTTTATATTATTTTTATATTATTTTTATATAATTTTTATATAAATTTTATTTTTTATATAAATTATTAAAATATTATTTTATTTAAATATTTTAAATTATATTTTTATAATATTTTAAACCAATATTATTTTAGTAAAATATTATAAATTATAATTAATATATTATATTTTTATTAATATTGTAAATTATAATTAATATATTATTTATTTATATTAATTTATAATTTTAATTTATTTAATTTATTTTTAATTTTATAAAATTCCTAATTTCTTAATTTAAAATCAGGTAAATTATTTATTGAATTAAAATAAGTTAAAGTATTTTGAGTTGAAATTTGAGAAAATATATCTTGTCTTTTTACACCTTGTTCATGATATAATGTTAAAACTATTGCTCCCACCATAGCTATCAATAACACTATACTTGAAACTATAAAATATATATAGCCATGGGTATATAATATTTGACCTATACTTTCTATATTTGTTAAATTTACTATATTATTATTATAATTTGAAGTAATATCTACACTATAAGAATTCATAAATAAAGATAATTCATACGGATTATTAATGAAAAATAATTGAGTAAATAAATTATTAGAAGACATAGCAAATTGTTCATCCACTATTACCATTAACTCTAATATAAATATTATTCCTATTATACCCCCTATTGGTAAATATCTTGTAAAATTTTCTATTAATTCTACTAATCTTATATTTAACATCATTACTACAAATAAAAATAAAATAGCTAATGCTCCTACATAAACTATTAAAAATAATAATGCTAAAAATTCAAATCCTAACATTAATAATAATATAGAACTATTAGCAAAACACATCACTAAACCTAATACTGAATTTATTGGATTTTTTGATGAAATTACTAATATACCAGAGAAAAATGCTCCTATACTAAAAATATATACTAAAGTTTCTATCATTTTTTTTTATTTTTTTATACTATTTTTTATATAATTGTATTATATTCTTATATAATCTTTTTATTATATTATTTATTATTATATTATTTTTTTATTTATAATATTATTTTATAATATTATTATATAATTTAATACTATTATTATATTATTTTTATATAGTATTTTAATACCTAGAGGGAATCGAACCCTCATTTATTAAGTCGAAATTAACTATATTACCATTATATGATAGGTATTTTATTTTATTAATAATATTATCATTTTTATATTATATTATTAATATTATTTTATATTATTTTTATTTATTATTTTTATTTTTATTTTTATTTTTATTTTTATTTTTATTTTTATTTTTATTTTTATTTTATTATATTCCAATATAATATTAACAATATTACTTATTATCAAATAAAAATATATTAAAATATAATTTATAATTTAATTATTGAAATTATCCAAACTCTTATTTCCACAATATCTTTATAATTTGTCTATTATTTCTTTAAATTATATTTTATAAAATGTTATATTATATTTTTAATTTATTTTATTTATTTTTAATTTATTTAATAATTTTTATTAATTTTTATTTTTTATATATAATCTTTATCAGAACTGATAACTAAATATAATTATTTTTGAATATTTTTTAATAAAATTAATATTTTTGATAATTTTATACAATATTTAATTCAGCATAATAATAAATTAAAATTAAAATTATATTAATAATATAATATAAAAATGATAATAATTGGTATATAATTAAATTATAATATATTAATTATTAACCTATTAATAATTTCAGCTAATATTCATTAACAATTTTATTTATTATTTTATTTAGAATTTAAGCAAACTCTACCATAATAATTTAAGCAAACTCTACCATAATAATTTAAACTAAATATTTATTAATAATTTAAGCAAACTCTACCATAATAATTTAAACTAAATATTTATTAACAATTTAAACTAAATATTTATTAGTAATTTCAGCAAACTCTACCATAATAATTTAAACTAAATATTTATTAATTATTGAAGCAAACTCTTTATTAATTATTTTAGCAAATATGAATAAATATAAATTTTTATTTTTATTATTTTTATTATTTTTATTATTTTTATTATTTTTATTATTTTTATTTTTATTATTTTTATTTTTATTATTTTTATATTTATTATTAAGTTTATTTTAGAGATTATTATTTCAATAGATTATTATTTCAATAGATTAATTTATTTTAGTTTATTTTTATTATTTTATTATTATTATTTTTATATTTATTATTAAGTTTATTTTAGAGATTATTATTTCAATAGGTTTATTTATTTTAATTTATTTTAATTTATTTTAATTTATTTTAATTTATTTTAATTTATTTTATTTAATTTACACAAATATACCCTATTATAAATTATATTATTTTTAATATATTAAAAATTTTTATTGTATATATACAAATATAATTATAAAATAAATTTTTATAAAATTAAATTTTTCTTAAATAATTTATTTTATTACTATATTATAAATAATAACTATTTAATTAAAATTTATTAAATTACTATATTATAAATAGTAACTATTTAATTAAAATTTATTAAAAATAGTCACTATTTATAATAAAATAAATATTTATTAATAATATATAATTATTTTTTTTTTTGTCATTTAGCTAATTTACCTCAAGCTGTTTTCTTAGGTTTACCTAAACCTCCACTACCTGAAGTTTTACCACCCATTGGATGATCTACAGGATTTTGAGCTTTACCTCTAACTTTTGGTCTATTATTTAATAATCGATTAGTTCCAGCTTTACCTTTAATTTCATATTTATGAAGTTCATTTGAAACTTTCCCTATAGAAGCTATATTATTTGAAGGTATATTTATTATTTTTTTAGAGGGTAATCTAACAATACTTCTTAATTCATTATTTTCCTCAATATTTTTAAGTAAAATACTAAAAGTACCTGCTGCTCTACTATATACTCCATTATTTTTATTTAAATGATTTGTTAAATAACTATTTTTTAATTTATTTTTTAAATTTTTTTCTGATAAATAAGTTTGTTTTGTATTTAATTTAATATTATTTAAACTTTTTTCATTTAATATATTTTTATTTGATAATGAAGTAATATTGTAAATATTAGTACCTATAGGTAAATTATACAAATAATTACTTTCTATTTTATTATTATTAATTTCATTATTATTTAAATTAACATTATTTAATTTTTCAATATCATTATATTTATAACCTTCAATAATATCACCTATTTTCATAGTATTAGATGCTAATATATAAAATTTAATTGAAGGAGTATTTAAAGTAGATAATAAAGCAATATTACTTGATATATTAGGATTATATTGAATATCTATAATTTCACTTTTAGTATATATACCTAATTCTCTAGATCTGTCAATTAATCTTAATCTTCTTTTATGTCCTCCTCCTCGACATCTTACTGTAATTTTACCTTGATTATTTCTTCCTCCTTTAGCTTGAGCTGATAATTTGTTATATTTTAAATATTTAAATCAACCCTCTTTTTTAGAAGAAAATGGATTTTTATCATTTTTGAATTGAGATCTAATAGTATTAGCTAATATTTTATGTCTTAATGATGGTGTTATTGGTTTATATCTTTTTACTTGCATTTTTTATTTTTATTATTTTTATTTATTTTTATTTTATTTATTTTATTTATTTTTTATTTTATTATTTTATATTTATTTTTATTAATTTTTATTAAATTATTTTATATTAATTTTTATTTATTTTTATTAAATTATTTTATATTAATTTTTATTTATTTTTATTAAATTATTTTATATTAATTTTTATTAATTTTTATTAAATTATTTATTTAATTTTAATTAATTTTTATTAATTTTTATTAATTTTAAATTTTTATAAAATTTTATTTTTTAATTTTTTTATAAATTTTATTTTTTATATTTTTATTTTTATTTAATAATAACATATTTAAATTAAGAATTTATTAAAAATAATTTTAATTAATTTTTATTAATTTTTATTAATTTTTATTAATTTTAAATTTTTATAAAATTTTATTTTTTAATTTTTTTATAAATTTTATTTTTTATATTTTTATTTTTATTTAATAATAACATATTTAAATTAAGAATTTATTAAAAATAATATAATTAAAAATAAAAAATAAATTAAATTTAAGATTTATTAAATAATCATAATTTTAGTCCAATTATTCCTCATTTAGTAAAAATATCTTTTTGAACATATTGTAATCTATAAGAATCCACTGAATTTAAACTAGTTTCACTAGGTTTAATTAAAAATGAATTATTAAATGAATTATTTGTGTTATATAAAGGTAAATTTAATATAGATTTAGACTTTTTTGTTGTATTATTTAATTTAGTTGATTTGTTTAATGATTTATTCGATTTATTTTTAATATTCGAATTACCATTTAATTTAAATTTTCTAGCCATACTTACTCCTTTTAATCGTCCAGATAATAAGTATTTTACAGCACTTTGTTTATTATCTTTTTCAGTTTCTTCTAAAGAAGAAAATATTAATTTATTTTTTTGCAATAAATCATAATAATTAGATAATAATATATTTTTTATATTTATTTGATTTTTTGTTTTCATTATTTTTTATTTTTATTATTTATTATAGATTATTTCATAGCACAATTTAATCTTTAAATATACATATATTTATTTTTTATATATAATTTATTAATTTATATTTAAATTTTATATTTTATTATTATTTTTATTAATTTTTATTAATTTTTATTAATTTTTATTAATTTTTATTAATTTTTATTAATTTTTATTAATTTTTATTAATTTTTATTAATTTTTATTAATTTTTATTAATTTTTATTAATTTTTATTAATTTATTAAACCTATCAAAATTCTATATTCTATTATAAACTACAAATATTTATATTTATAAAATTTAAATTTTATATTTTATTATTATTTTTATTAATTTTATTAATTTTTATTAATTTATTAAACCTATCAAAATTCTATATTCTATTATAAACTACAAATATTTATATTTATATTTAATTTTATAAAATTTAAATTTTTATTTTATTTTATTTATTATATTAAATATTAAAAATTATTTTTATTAGTTATATACCTAATATGAATTTTGAAATAATATATTTAATAATAATAATTTAAAGATATTTTCAATATTTTTTATAAAATTAATATTTTTGATAATTTTTATAAAATTAATATTTTTGATAATTTTTATAAAATTAATATTTTAGATAATTTTATATAATTTTATATAATTTTATATAATATTTAACATAAATAAAATAATATTTAATTTTTATTTTTAATTTTTTTTATAAATTTATTTAATAATTATGATTCAAATGGAGCATATTATTTTATTAATTATATATCTATTTAATATTAAACATTATTATCCTTTTTAATTTATACATTATTTGTATTAAACATTATTTTATTAAAAATTATTTTATTTAAAATTATTTTATTTTTTATAATTTTATTTTTTATAATTTTATTTTTTATAATTTTATTTTTTATAATTTTATTTTATTTTTTATTTTTATTAAACATTTTCCTATTAAAATTTGGATATTAAAGATATTAAAATTTTATTTTTTTAATTTTTATAAAAATTTTATTTTATTAAAAATTTTATTTTTTATAATTTTATTTTTTATAATTAAATTTTTTATTAATTATTATCTATTTAAATTTTGAATATTAAAAAAGTAAATTTCCCTATTAAAAATTTAAATAAATAAAATGTATATTATAAATATTTAAATTAATAATAGGGAAAACTAATGGATTTTAATTGTAAATAAATCTAATAGATATTTTATGTATAAAGATAAAATAAATTAACTACCTCATCAATAAACAATTACAAATAAACCTAATCAAACAAAGTCTACAAAATGTCAGTATCATATAGCTGCTTCAAATCCATTATGATGATTTTTAGTATAATGAGATCTAATAATTCTGAATAAACAAACAGTTAAAAAGATAGTACCTACTAAAACGTGAAATCCATGGAAACCTGTTAACATATAAAATACACTACCATATACTGAATCTGCTATTGTAAAAGTAGCTTCATCATATTCCATTCCTTGTAATATAGTAAATATAAAAGCTAAAACAACTGTTAATATTAAAGCTAAAATAGTATTGTATCTATTTCCTGCTATAATTGAATGATGACTTCATGTAACTGTTGCTCCAGATGTTAATAATATAGCTGTATTTAATAAAGGTACTCCCATAGCTTCTATAGGTTGAATTCCTAAAGGAGGTCATACGGCTCCTATACTAATTTCTGGTCCTAAAGATGAATGGAAAAAAGCTCAAAAAAATCCAAAAAAGAACATTACTTCAGATACAATGAATAATAACATTCCTAATCTTAATCCTTTTTGTACTACAATTGTGTGATGACCTTGAAATGTAGCTTCTCTAACTATATCTCTTCATCATAAATATGCTACATAAGTTAATAATATAGCTGATATTGATAATAATGTACCTCCATATTTAAATGAATGAAAATACATTACTGCACCCACTGTTAATCCTAAAGCACTAAATGATGCCATATATGGAAATGGTGATGGTTCTACTAAATGGTATGGATGATAATGTTTTGCCATTTTATTTTATTTTTATTTTTTTTATTTTTATAAAAATTTTATTTTTTATTTTTATTTTTATAAATATATTTTTTTTTTATTAATTATTATTTGAATAAGCCAAAATTTTAATTTGTATTCTTATCCTATTATTTATAGTGATATTATTATTAAAATTTTTAATTTTAAAATATTTTTATTATTATTTTATTTTATTTTAAATATTAATATTAATATTATTTATTATATTATTTAATAAATTATTACACTATTTTTACCATGTATTTATATCACATATTATATTTAAATTATTTTATTTATATTTTTATTATTTTTATTATTTTTATTATTTTTATAAATTTATTTAATATAAACCTAATTTAAAAATAATATTTTCAATAGATTTTATTTATAATTATTATTTATAATTATTATTTATAATTATTATTTATAATAATTATTATTATTGAAATATTTACTAATTATAAAGTATATAATAGAAATAATTATTTAGAGATTTTTATTTAATTTATTTAATTATTTAATTTTTATAATTTTTAATTTTTATTTAATTTTATAATTTTTAATTTTTATTTAATTTTATTCTTTAAATTTATATTTTTATTATATACTCTATATTTAATAAATTATATTATTTTTATTAATAATATTTTTTCTAATAAATATATTATTTTATATAATTTTTATATTATTTTATATAATTTTTATATTTATATAATTTTTATAATTTTTCTAAATATAATCCAATACCTTTATATTTATCTTTTAATCCAGATTTTAAATTTTTAATATTATTGGCAAATAAACTTAATTCATTTAATGAAGCTGAATTAAATGTATTATTATCCATATTAAAATGGTATTTAGGATATAATATTAATTCATTAATATTTTTTAAATTATAATCAATATTATTAGGTACTATTAATTTTTTGGGTGTAGAACCTAAACTTAATTCTAACATTTTATTTTGATTATTTGAAATATCTGTTATTCTATAACCAATACCTTTACCTACAGGTATATATACTTTATATGCATTTTTATAAATGAAGGTATTTGAGGGATTTTTATGTCATATTAAATCTTCATTAATTTTATCATTATTTATATTTTTAATAATATATAAATTATCAATTATTTGATTTAATTTACTTTTAATTAAACCTCAATATGATTTCATTTCTTTATTTATATTATTTTCTAATAAAATACTTAATTCTCAATTATTAGAAGTTTCATTAATTGAAATTTTATTAGATAATTCATTTAACATAATTATTTCTTGAGTATAATTAACTATTTTACCGTCAATATCAACTTTTCTAATAAACTGTCATTTATTCAATTTATCTAAATTAGGGTTTTGATTATTTAATATTTCTTTATTAACTATTTCAAATGTTTCTTTATTATATCCTTTTAATTCTGTAATAGGATCTAATATTTGTTTTGGTATTAAAATCTTTTGTTTTCCTATATTTGACATTTTATTTAATTTTTATTTATTTTATTTTTATAAAAATTTTATTATTTTTTATTTTTTAAATTATTTAATTATATTATAATTATTATTTTATTCAATTTATTATTTAAATAATAATTTATTATTTTATTAAATTTATTATTTTATTAAATTTATTATTTTATTAAATTTATTATTTTATTAAATTTATTATTTTATTAAATAGATCCTTTAAAAAAGGAGATATAATAATATCTTAATTATAAACTAAATATTAATGGATAATTATATAAATTAATTTAATTAATTCATTTTAAAATTTATAAAAAATAATATAAAATTAATTATTAAATTATATATAAAAATAAACTTATAATAAGGTATAGGCGGGAGTTGAACCCACTTATCAAATTTTGCAGATTTAAAAGATTACCGAATCACTACACCAATATAAATATAAATATACAATATTTATAAATATAATAATTTTTATTTAATAAATAGTAATTATCAATATAAACTTAAATTAATTATTTATTAATTCGAAACATTCAAATATATAGAATTTTCTATACTAACTTTAATTAATATTTATGGACAATTTTAATAAAATATAAATAAATTATAATTTTTTAAATTTTTATTTTTAATATTTATTTTTATTTTTATTTTAAATTATTAAAATTTAAACCTATAATTACTGTTATAAACTAAAAAAATACTAATAACAGTAATAATATTTTGATTAAACATAAATATTCAACAATATTTCATTAAAATTCCTATATAATTTAAATTTGAAATTTAACAAAATCTCTTGAAATAATTAATTGGTAAATAATAAATAAAAGAGTTTGCTTAAATTATAAATAAAATATCAAATTAATAAAATTAATTAAAATATCAAATAAATAAAATTTATTAAAATATTAAATTGGAATATAATTAATAAAATAATTAGAATAATTATACAAAATAAATAAAATATCAAATAAATAAAATTTATTAAAATATTAAATTGGAATATAATTATAATTTATTACTCATATTTAGTTTAAATTATTAATAGGAGTATAATAAATAAAAGAGTTTGTTGAATTAGAATAATTATAATTTATTATTCATATTTGCTGAAATTATAAATAGGAATATAATTAATAAAATAGTTTGCTCCATTAGAATAATTATACAAAATAAATAAAATATCAAATTAATTAAAAATAAGTAGGGGGTATATAAAACCCCCATAGTTATAATATATTAAATATATAATAGTAGTGTATATTAAGGAATAAACTTTGGATAAAATTAAAAAATTTAAAAAATTAAAAAATTCTAAAATTTATAAATTATTAAATATTTATCCTTATATATTAACTTTATAATTTAAATAATTTATTTTCTAATATATCTATTATTATTAAATAAGATAAATACTATATAAAATCAATTATCCCAAGAATACTTAAATGAATAAACGGTTATATGAATAAACGATTATATGAATAAACGGTTATACTAATATTATAATTTTATTAATTGGGTATTACTTAAAAAATGCAATATACAAATAAGAAATATAATTCTCAATAATGAATATTTAGATAAAAATAAGAATTTGTATTAATAAAATAAATAAAATAAATATTTATTCATATTTGCTGAAATTATAAATAGGAATATAATTAAATAAATATTTATTCATATTTGCTGAAATTATAAATTAAGTAAATTAATAAAATATTAATATATAAATAATAAATAAAATAATAAATAAAATAATAAATAAAATAATAAATAAAATAATAAATAATATATTAAATAAATAAAATTAATAAATTAAATTTTATTATAATAAATTTTATAATAAATAAAAATTAAAAAATAATAAAATTATAAAAATAAAATAATAAAATAAAATACTTACTTATTGTACATATTATATTAAGAATTTAATGTATGAGGAATAGGACAATTATGAATGATTTTTACTACATTTTTTAATGACATTCCTGATTTATAATTATTATTTAAATAAGCTGAAAATAAATAAACTAATCTATTAGGATTTTCATTATAAGATTATTTTATAAGAGTGTTTAGTTCTATAGAAGATTATACTAAATAAAAATTATTTTTAGTTAAACAAATAGCTAAATTATAAATATTATTGAAAGTATAATTATAAGCAATTTTTATGTTTATAGCCTTATTTCCAAATTCATTAAAAATTAATTCTAATTCTTGAATATTTTTAGATTGATTTCATAAAATATTTCCTAAAAATAAGAGGAATATCTTTAATTAGATATTTCTAATTTAATTGTTTAGCAAATTTAGATAAAATATCATAATAATCTGTTTCCAACTGGTAATTTATTTATCAGGAAAAATCATAATACTAAATATTATAAAAATAGAGTAAATATAACCATATAGATTTTTTATAATATTCTTTAAAATTAATTTTGCCTAAATTTTTTAAATTGGGATTTAATAATAAATATTATATAGGTTTACTTTTAATTTTTAGATGTTTTGGCATTTTGGGATATTTATCTATTAATATTTTATAATTTTTATTAATTTAATATTTTATAATTTTTATAAATTTAATATTTTATAATTTTTATTAATTTAATATTTTATAATTTTTATTAATTTAATATTTTATAATTTTTATAAATTTAATATTTTATAATTTTTCTAAATAAAATCAATATGCAATATTTTATTTTTATTATCCATTATACCCTAAATTTATAAATTCTTATAATTTTATATATCATTTTTATCTATATTTTATTACATGTCAATATCCATTTATTTTACTAGATTTAAGTTTTGTTATTTTTAAATTATAAACTTTAAGGATTTCTTATTTATCATATTTTGTATTAATGTTTAACATAATCTATTTATATACTATATATGGATTTCTTATTTATCATATTTTATATTAATGTTTAACATAATACTATCAAGGAATTGATAATACTATCAAAAGATTGACACAGCTAATTAAGCAAATAAATTAATGTAATTAATTGGACATTACTTTAAAAATGCAATAAACGAATAATAAACAAAATATGAATATTAAGATAAAAATAAGAATTTGTATTAATAAAATAAATAAATTAAATTTTATTATAATAAATTTTATAAAATAATTAAAATAAATAAAATAAATAAAATAAATAAAATAAATAAAATAAATAAAATAAATAAAATAAATTAAATAAAATAAATAAATTAAATTTTATTATAATAAATTTTATAAAATAATAATAAAAATTATTAATATATTATTTTAATAAAAATAATAAAATACTTACTTATTTTTTCTATATTATCTTTTATATTTTTATCTATATTTAATAATAACATTCAAACATTCTAATATCTTGCTATTTTATTAGGTTGAGGTTTTGTTGCTTTTAAATTATAAAACCCATTGTCCTTTAATGTTTCTAAAGCTTTCTCATGTTTAACATAATCTATTAATACATTATCAAGGGATTTATTATTAAACATATTTTGTATTAATGCTTCATACTCTATTTTCTTTACATTTTATATTGTATAATGTTCCTCCCAATATAACACTAAATTATTTTGAGGTAAAATTTAGTTTAATGTTGCAGTTATCATAAGAATTTATTTATTTTTATTATTTTAATTTTCTTCAATTAATACTATATTTTTAGTAGATTTATTAAAAGTACTCTATTTACTTGTATTTTATTTTAAATAATTTATTTTTATTTTAAATTATATTTATTATATTATTATATTATTTAATACATCTACTATTATATACTCATATCCTATTTATATACTACTATCTATTAATACTCTGTTTATATATTAAAGGAATATTTATACACAATATTTAGTAAATTAGTCTCTATTATTTGTATAAAAATTTTAAATTATATGATTAAATGTTTTCAAAGATTAATTAAGTAAATATTTTATTATAACAAGTAATATAAATTTAAGATTTTCTTCATTATATTCATTTATATTTAATTCTTTATTTATGATATAAATATAACAAATAATATAAATATTAAAAATAAAAATTTAAATATTTATGATATAAATATAACAAATAATTAATTTGTTTGTATTTTATTATAATTAAAATTATTTAAATAATAAATAAAAATAAAAATTATTTAAATAATTAAAATTATAAAATTATATAAAATTTATAAAAATTATAAAATTATATAAAATTAATAAAAATTATAAAATATTAAATTAATTAAAATTCAAAATTGTTATAATTAATTTTTTATAAATAAATAGGAATAATCTAGATATTATTCCTATAAATTAACTTTATAATTTAAATAATTTATTTTCTAATATACCAATTAAAGGTGTTATTATTATAAAATAAGAGAAATAGAAAACAGTAGCTAATTGTCCAATAATAATATATGGATCTTCAGCTGGTTGTCCTCCTAAATAACTTAATATAATAAAATCCGCTACAAAGAATCAGAAGAATACTTTAGCAATTGGTCTAAATCTCATACTTCTAATTTTACTTGTATGAGTAAACGGCAATACAGCCAATACAACTAATGAAGCAAATAAGGCAATTACTCCTAATAATTTATTCGGTATTGCTCTTAAAATACAATATGCGAATAAAAAGTATCATTCAGGGACAATATGTTGCGGTGTCACTAAGGGATTTGCAGGAATATAATTGTCACTGTGACCAAGGTAATTTGGAATAAAAAAAATAAAAAATGCAAAAAATATTGTAAATAATACATAACCAAATACATCTTTTACTGAATAATAAGGGTGAAATGGTACTTTGTCTATATTACTATCAACACCTATTGGGTTATTTGAACCATGTTCATGTAAAGCTATTAAATGAGCTACTGCTAATCCAGCTAATGCGAAAGGTAATAAATAATGTAAACTAAAAAATCTATTTAAAGTAGCATTACTTACTGAAAAACCTCCTCAAACTCATTCTACAATATCCTTACCTATAAAAGGTATAGCTGTAATAAAGTTAGTAATAACTGTGGCACCTCAAAAACTCATTTGTCCTCATGGTAAAACATATCCTATAAAAGCTGTAGCCATCATTACTATTAAAATAATTATACCTATATTTCATAATAAAATTCTAGGTGCAGTATATGATCCATAATACAAACCTCTAGCTATATGCATATATACCATTATAAAGAACATTGAAGCTCCATTAGCATGTATATATCTTAATAATCATCCAGCATTAACATCTCTCATGATATGTTCTACTGATGCAAAAGCTAAATCCACATTAGCACAATAATGCATTGCTAAAAATATACCTGTTAATATTTGAATTATTAAACATAATCCTAATAATGAACCAAATCCTCACATATATGATAAATTTGATGGAGCAGGTAATTGAATTAACATGTTGTTAACTATACTTATAAAAGGGTGTGTTTTTAATACTCTCATTTTTGTTTATTTTTAATTTTGTAATAATATAGAGAAATTTAATCTATTATATTACTTTTTTTATTTTTATAAAAATTTTATTTTTTTTAATTTTTTTTAATTTTTTTAATTTTTTTTAATTTTTATTAATTTTTTAATTTTTATTTTTTATCTTATTAGGTTTATTTCCCATTATAAATTTCATATTATTGAAAGGTAAATATTTTTATAAGTTAATATTTTTATAAATTTTTATTTTTTTATTTTTTTATAAATTTTATATTGCTAAATATTTTTTTAAATAAATGTTTTGATAAATTTTTATTTTTTTTATTTCTAATATATTCTATATATTGCTAAATATTTTTTTAAATAAATGTTTTGATAAATTTTTCTTGTATATCCAAATTATTACTCTATTATATACTATAAATTTGGTTTATATTTTTATAAATTTATATTTTTATAAATTAATATTTTTATAAATTTATATTTTAATAAATTTATATTTTAATAAATAAATATTTTTATAAATTTATTTTTATTTTATATCCAAATTATTACTCTATTATATACTATAAATTTGGTTAATATTTTTATAAATTAATATTTTTATAAATTAATATTTTTATAAATTAATATTTTGATAAATTTATATTTTTATAAATTAATTTATTAAACCTTCCTTATCACCCTATTATATACTATAAATTTATGGATAAATATTTTAATTTATATTTATTGATTATTATTTACTGTTTATTTAAAGGGTTAATATTTTGATAAATTAATATTTAATTAAATTTATTATTTTTATTTATTATAATATTTTTAATATTTTACTAACTTTATTTTATATATTATTATATATACTGTATATTTTTTTATATAAACTATTTTAGTACACTGCTGGAAATAAGTTATTAAATAATATAAAAAAAGGATGATTAACGAAGGTAGGATTCGAACCTACGAGTAAACTAATACAGCAAATTTACAGTTTGCCCCTTTAACCGCTCAGGCACTTCGTTTTATTTATTAATATATATTTATTGTTATATTATTATTTATTAATATATATTTATTGTTATATTATTATTTATTATAATTTATTTATTATTTATTATAATTTATTTATTATTTATTAATTATTTATTATAATTTATATTATTTTATTATAATTAATTTATTTAATTATTTATTATAAATAAATTTTATAATCATTTCATTTAATTAATTAAATTAATATTTATTTATTAAAAATAGAATATTAAAGAATATATTTCATGAATAATTAATAATTTTATATATAATATTTTATTTATTTAATTTATTTTTTTAATATTTTTTATATTTTTAATATTTTTTATATAATATAATATATAAGTAATAAGCGAAACAGAATATATAAAACTGTCTCGCTAATACATACTAAATATATTTAATATATTTTTATATAATACATATATTAAATATTTTAATATTATAATATTGATTTATAATAGTTATTTTTATTAATAAAAGGGGGATATATAGATATTAAAAATTATTCTCACTCTAATCCTCCTTTTAATCATTCATAAACTAAACCAATTGTTAATATTCCTAAAAATGTTACCATAGTTCAATATCCAAATACATGAATATCTGATAAAACTAAACTTCAAGGGAATAAAAAAGAAATTTCTAAATCAAAAATAATGAATAAAATTCCAACTAAAAAGAACCTTACTTCAAAAGGTTGTCTACTATCAGAAAAAGGATTAAATCCACATTCATATTGTTGTACTTTTTCATAATCAGGGTTTTTATTTGATAATAAATAAGAAGCTCCTAATAATACACATGATAATGCTAATGCTACAATTAAAAATATTAATACAGCAGAATATTCGAATAACATATTTTAAATATTTTTTTATTTATTTTTTATTAATAATTTTTTTTATTTTATAAATATTCAAAATTACTAATAAATAATTATTAACAAATAACCTAATTTTATTAATAATTATATTTTATTAATTATTAAATTTTTTCATCAAATTAATTACTTAAATTTAATACATATTTGATAAATTTTTTAATTTTTATTATTTTTTTATTTTTTTCTTTTTATTTTCTTTTATTGTGTTATATACACTATATTTTACAAATAATTAATTTGTTTATATTTATTTTTTATTTTTATTTAAATTTTTATTTTTAATTAATATATAATATATATTTAAAGAGTATAATATGCACATTTATAGACTTATTAATAAAATTATTAATAAAATTATAAATATTCAAATAATTAATTCTATTGTTAAACTTTATTTAATTATATTATAATTATTATTTTATTAAATTTATTATTTAAATAATACTCTAAAATTTATGTATTAGGTATTTTAATAAATTAATATTTTAATAAATTAATATTTTTATAAATTAATATTTTAATAAATTAATATTTTAATAAATTTATATTTTAATATTTTAATTTATATTTATTGATTATTATTTACTGTTTATTTAAAGGGTTAATATTTTAATAAATTAATATTTTTATAAATTAATATTTTGATAAATTTATATTTTAATAAATTAATATTTTAATAAATTAATATTTTAATAAATAAATATTTTTGATAATTTTTATTTATTTTATTTATCCTTAAAAATAGAGGATATTTTAGGTTCTATTATATACTTAAAATTTATAGATTAATATTTTGATAAATTTATTTTTTTAATTTTAAACTAAAAATCTCTCAAAACTACTTAATTCTATTATATACTATAAATTTATTGATTAATTAGTATTTTTATAGGTTTATATTTTTATTTATTTTATTTATCTTTTAAAAATATAGGATATTTTAGGTTCTATTATATACTTTAAATTTATTGATTAATTAGTATTTTTATAGGTTTATATTTTTATTTATTTTTTTTATTTTAAACTAAAAATATCTTTCAAATAAACTTATAATTACTATTATATACTTAATATTTATTGATTCATATTTTGATAAATTTATATTTTTATTTATTTTAAACTAAAAATATCTCAAAATTCTTTATTACTATTATATACTATAAATTAATTGATTAATATTTTGATAAATTTATATTTTTATTAATTTTTATTTTTTATTTATTTTATTTTATTAAAAATTTTATTTATTATTTTTATAAATTTTATATATCTTTCCTATTTATTATGTGTTTATTACACTATTTGTTGGAAAGATTTGATGAATTTAATTTATTTAATTAATTTTCATAATATATATTTAATTATTATTTATTTATTTAATTTATTTTATTTATTTATTTTTTATTTTATTTTATTAATTTTAATAATATATATTTAATTATTATTAATTAATTTAATTTATTTTATTTATTTATTTTTTATTTTATTTTATTGATTATATTTTTCTAGTTATTATAGAGGGAGATTTTATTTAATTTTATATAATTATTCAAATTATTCTAATTATTCTAATTCAACAAACTCTTTTATTTATTATTTACCTATTAATTATTTTATTATTTACTTATTAATTTATTAATTATTTACCTATTAATTATTTTATTATTTACTTATTAATTATTTTATTATTTACCTATTAATTATTTTATTATTTACCTTTTAAAAAGGGAGATTTTATATAATTATTAGAATTATCCTAATTCAGCAAACTCTTTTATTAATTATATACCTATTTCATATTTATTCATTTTATAATTGATTTTATTTGATGAATTTTCATAATATATATTTAATTATTATTTATTTATTATATATCTATTTTGTGTTTATTACACTATTTATTGATTTTTATAAATTATTATTTTTTTATTTTTTTATAAAAATTTATAATTTTATTATTTTTTAATTTTTATTTTTTATAAAAATTTATAATTTTATTATTTTTTAATTTTTATTTTTTATAAAAATTTATAATTTATATTTTTTATAATGAATATTCCCCTGTAAATTATTTACAGGGAAATAAATTATAATAAATAACTAATTAATGTTATTTATAAAGAAAGTTTAATGTTATAATTAAAATTTAAATAGTAATACTTATTTTTAAAGTATATATTCTAAAATCAAAAACTAAAAAGTTATTAAATTAATTAAATAAATTAAATAAATTAAATAAATTAAATAAATTAAATAAATTAAATAAATTAAATAAATTAAATAAATTAAATTAATTAAACTAATTAAACTAAGAAGTATGTGTTCTAGAAGCTACTAAATAAGGTAATTCATTATAACAGTGGAAATGTGGTGGAGAAGTTTCAGCTCATTCTAAAGAATGGATAGTTGGTATATCTCCTTCTTTTTCGAATAATTCTTTAGATCTTCAGTAGTTATTACCTACAACTACACCATCAGTTAATGTTCTATAAATTACATACATAAATACTATTACAGCTACAACACTAATTAAACTTCCAAAAGAAGATAATAAATTTCATTCAGCGTAAGCATCAGGAAAATCATTATATCTTCTTGGGAATCCTGCTAATCCTAAGAAATGTTGAGGGAAGAAAGTTAAGTTAACTCCAATAAACATTAATCAAAAATGTATTTTTCCTCAAGTTTCAGGATAAGCATAACCTGTAACTTTACCAATTCAATAATATACTCCACCTATTAAAGCAAATACTGCTCCCATAGATAAAACATAATGAAAGTGTGCTACAACATAGTAAGTATCATGTAAAGCAATATCTAATCCTCCATTAGCTAACATTACTCCAGTAATTCCTCCTAAAGTAAATAAGAATATAAATCCTAAAGCTCAATACATAGGTACTTTTAATCTAATACTTCCTCCATACATAGTACCTAATCAACTAAATATTTTGATTCCAGTTGGTACTGCTATTATCATTGTACTTGCAGTAAAATATGCTCTTGTGTCAACATCCATTCCTACAGTATACATGTGATGAGCTCACACTATAAATCCTAATAAACCTATAGATAACATTGCGTATACCATTCCTAAATACATAACAGTATAAAATAAAATTTTTGACTCAAATTTATACTGTTTTGGACCATCTCTTTATATATCATAATTACAATAATTATTTTTATTTTTTAATATTTTATCTTTTTTAACTATATTTTTCTAATTATTATTTTTACAATTTTTAATAATTTTTAATAATTTTTAATAATTTTTAATAATTTTTAATAATTTTTAATAATTTTTAATAATTTTTAATAATTTTTAATAATTTTTATAATTTTTATTAATTTTTAATTTATTTAATTATTTTATTATTTTATTTTTTATAAACTTTATATATCATAATTACTTCATTTTTCCAATAATTCTTTTCATTTCTTTTCTTCTACCATATTTAATCTTTTTTTATGTCAATTTCTTGAATATCCCTCATAAATTGAGGGTATTAAATTTGCTCTTATCATTTTTTTAGAAATTAATGGAAATTTTTTAAAATATTCTGTCATAGCTAATACTTCTATTTTTTTATTAACAATTCATTTAAAAGTATTTGTAGTTCCATGTGGATAAACTTTTCCTCCATATACAAAGGCAATTTGATCTAATAAATATTTATCTTTTTGACTAATTGATATAAATACTTGTACAAATGTGGTATTAATATATATACTACCATCAGCATCGAAAAACCCAGATAATCAATTTGAAGAATAATTTAATGAAGGTGTGTCTAATAATTTTATATTATATAATGCACATACTTTATCTAATTGTAATATTCTAACCGGATTCCGTAATCTGCCATTTAATGAATTAACTATATTAATAATTCCTTCTTTGTGGTGTAATTTATATCTATGTCATTTACCTTTACCAGGTTTAATATTACCGCCAAAAACTGTTTTAATTCTATATAAACATTTTAGGTTACTAGTTTCAACTGTTAATTCAAATGAAACATACCCTTTTTTAGATATAGTAAAACAACCATCTCCATCAGTAATACCTGCTAATCAATCTAAATATTTATTATCTTTTAAATATCTTTTGTTTTCTATACTCATTTTTTGTATTTTTTATATTTTTATAAAAATTTTATTTTTTTATAAATTTTATTTTTTTATAAAAATTTTATTTTTTATAAATTTTAATTTTTTATAAATTTTATTTTTTATAAAATTTTATTTTTTTATAAATTTTATTTTTATAAAAATTATTTTTTTTTATTAATTATTGTGATATATAACAAACATATGGCCTCTGAGGATCCTACTAACATGCTTTTTATTTATATTATTACAATTAATATAAATTAGTATTTAAAATTTTTAAAATACGTGCGTTGGTTTCCTGCGGGTTACCGATAAATATTTGAATTTTTACTAAATTAAAGCGTTTGTAATCTCGCATTCAATTAAATATATAATTAAATATATAATTAAATATATAATTAAATATATAATTAAATATATAATTAAATATTTAGTACCAAATATATTATAAATAAATTTTTAATGTCAAAAATTTCTTGTTTATTTACCTCGGTTTCCTGCATATAGTTTATTGCGTTAAAGTAAAATTTTTTTAATAATTTTAATAATTTTAATTATTTTAATTATTTTTATAATTTTAATTATTTTAATTATTTTATAATTTTAATTATTTTTATAATTTTAATAATTTTAATTATTTTAATAATTTTAATAATTTTTATTATTTTAATATTATTTTTATTCTTTCCACTTAAAGGGCCATTAAGGGTCGACCAAATACTGGTTTATCAGAGAATGTTGATACAATGTGTGATACTATTCCAAATCCAGGAATAATTAAAATATAAACTTCTGGGTGCTTCCATTTATAATATAATATAATATTATATTCATGGCTGGACCATCTCTTAAAATATACAACTTTTATTTAAATTTTATTTTTTATAATTTTATTTTTTTAATTTTTATAAAATTTTATTTTTTTAATTTTTATAAAATTTTATTTTTTTATTATTATTTTTAACATAACCCTCAAAATTTTATCCTATTATAGACCCATAAAGAAATGGTGAAGTTAATTAATTAAAATTTTTATTATTTTATTTTTTTATTTTTATATTTTTATATTTTTATATTTTTATATTTTTATATTTTTATATTTTTATATTTTTATAAAAAATTTATTTTATTAAAATAATTTATTTTTAATTTTATATAATTAATTATTTATTTTTTTATTTAACTTCTGAAGCCTCTAATTTAATATTAGCATCTCTAGAATAACCATAAGAACTAAAATTTTTAAATCATAATTTAAATTTTTTATATAATACTTCATTTCCTAATTTAAAAGCATGTAATTCATATAATCTATAATATTGAGGTATTAATAATATACGTGATTGTTTTAAAGTTCTAAGTGGATTATTTTTAGTATATTGTAAAAAATATATAATATCCTGTTTATTTTTTATGGTTCATTTATAAGATAAATATTTATTTGTATGATCAATATATATATTTCCATTAAATAACTTAACTCAAATATTTAAATCTTCTTTATTTTTAGAAAAAACGGATAAATATAATTGGGGTTTTGAAATAGAATTATGTTTATTATTTTGAATAAAACATGTTATAGTACCATTAACATCAAATAATCCTGAAAAATAAGCAGAATTAATATCAATATTAGAATATGGTATATAAGAAATACCAAAATGTTCACATAAAATTTTTAATTGTTTTATTTTTTGGGGATATCTTATTAAACCATTAATTCTATTAATTAAATCAAACATAACAGTTTGTTGTACTATTCTATATCTTACGGATTTATAACCAGCTTTAGCTTTAATAGTTCCACTGGATAATTTAGTTTTAAGATAAGCTAAACATCTTTCATCTCGACTATCCATAGTAATTTCTAAAGATCCATATCCCTTTTTAGACAATAATAATAATCCATTACCATCTATAATACCAGCTAAGTATTGATTAAAATTTTCATCAGTAAATTTCTTTTTTAATATTATATTTGAACTATAATATCTATTTAATGTACCATTTATTTTTAATAAATTATGAGTTGTTTTTATATTAAATAAATTATGAGTTGTTTTTATATTAAATAAATTATGAGTTGTTTTTATATTAAATGTTTGCATTTTTATAAATTTAAAGTTTTTCATTTTTATATTTTTATGTTTAAAGTTGTATATTTTGTGAACGTATGGCCTCTGAGGATCCTACTAACTTAATTTTATTTTTATTATTTTTATAAAATTAGTGTTGGTTTCCTGCTGATTGTTCATACTATTTAATAAAAAAAATATTAAATTATAAATTTTTATAAAAATAAAATTTAAAAAATAATAAAATTATAAATTTTTATAAAAATAAAAAATTAAAAAATATTAAAAAATATTAAAAAATATTAAAAAATAATAAACATCTCAATACTCAATATTACTATTATATACTAAAAATTAATATTAGATAAATAATAGATAAATAATAATAATAAAAAATAATAAACATCTCAAATTAATTATTACTATTATGTACTTTAAATTAATAATTATAAATATCTCAATATTTATAATACTATTATGTACTTAAAATTAATATTAGATAAATAATAGATAAATAATAATAATAAAAAATAATAAACATCTCAATATTTATAATACTATTATGTACTTTTAATTAATATTGTTCTATTTATTGTATATATTAAAATAAACTTATAATTCTATCATGTACTTAAAATTAATATTAGATAAATAATAGATAAATAATAATAAACATCTCTTTTCCTTTCAGGAATACAAACTTATAATTCTATCATGTACTTAAAATTTCACTGTTCTATTTATTGTATATATTAGAATAAGAGTTTTGGTGTTTTTATATTTTTTATTTAATAGTTTTATTATTATTTTATTTATTTAATTTATAAATATTTATTTTATTTATTTATTTTTTATTTTATTTTATTGATTATATTTTTTATTAAATTAATATTTATTTATTGTTTATATTCGAATTGATATTTCGATATTTTTATATTTTTTATTTAATAATTTTATTATTTTTATTAATTTTTAATTTTTATTTTTTTAATTTTTATAAAATTTTATTTTTTTAATTTTTATAAAATTTTATTTTTTTAATTTTATTTTTAATATTTTTATTTTAAATATTTATTAAAAGATTTTTACATAAGTAGGGTTGTATTTATAACACTTATAACTTAGTACTTTTAATTATTAATATAAATTTCCAGCATATAGTTCACTGCTATAAATTTTTAATACTATTATAATATTTATAATAATATTTTTAAATTTAAAGGGCCGATTTGACCAAAAAATCAAAATAAATGTTGATATAATATAGGGTCTCCTCCTCCAGCAGGATCAAAAAAGCTAGTATTAAAGTTTCTATCAGTTAATAACATTGTTATTCCTGCAGCTAATACAGGTAATGATAATAATAATAAAATAGCTGTAATAAATACCGCTCAAACAAATAAGGGTAATTTATGCATTGTCATACCAGGAGCTCTCATATTTAATATTGTTGTTATAAAATTTGAAGCACCTAATAATGATGAAACTCCAGCTAAATGTAAACTAAATATAGCTAAATCTACAGAACCTCCTGAATGGAATTCTACACTTGATAATGGTGGGTAACATTATTAATAAATTTATTTATTTATTAATTTTTTTGTTGAGTATCATTTTTATAAAATACTAATATTTATTATTATTAATATAAATTATTATTTATAATAAATTATTATTAATAATTATTAATTATAAATTATTATTAATATAAATTATTATTAATATAAATTATTATTAATATAAATTATTATTAATATAAATTATTATTAATATAAAGTATAAAATACTAATATTATTATTATTAATATAAATTATTATTAATATAAATTATTATTAATTATAAATTATTATTAATATAAATTATTATTAATATAAAGTATAAAATACTAATATAAATTATTATTAATATAAAGTATAAAATACTAATATTTATTATTATTAATATAAATTATTATTAATATAAATTATTATTAATTATAAATTATTATTAATATAAATTATTATTAATATAAAGTATAAAATACTAATATAAATTATTACTAATATAAGTATATTACATTGAAATCATACTTTCCTTTATTTTCATAAAGGTTCGGACTATTCCTTATAGAAAATGTGTTAAATATTATTAATATATTTGTTTATTTTATAGAATTTCTTTGTTTTCGTATTTTATTTAATATTTCTTTTGCCTTACAAAGTTTATTCATTTTATTTGTTCTAAAAGCCCTAGATCATATACTATATTCAAAACTTTTTATTCCTAATAATTTCCCTTTTAATAATATTATTAATTTATTAATTATTTTAGGATCTTTTGTAGATAAAGTAGTGTATGAATTATCTTTTTTTACCTTTATTTTACTTTGAATATTTAAATATTTATGTATTAATCATATTATAAAAGAATTATTTTTTTGTCCTAATTCAAACACAATTTGTAATTTATCATTAATTTTAAAACTTCCGTCTCCTTCTATAAATCCTGATAATCACCAAGGATCTATAATATTAATAAGAGAATTTTTAGGTATTAATTTAATTAATTCATTATTTTTTTTTAAATTATATTTTATAATATTGTTAATATCATTATTTAAAATAGGAAATACTATAGGTGAAACTCTTCATAAACAATCTTTAGATTCTAGCTTTAATTTCGATAAAATTTCATGTTTTTCATTTGTATTTTTAGAAGATTCCATAATATTTATAGCATCTTTTAAATACATTACTTGATAGTATTTTAAACCTCTAAAATTAAATTGAGATAATATAGGTAAAATATGATTTTTTATAGTTTCTTTATTTGTAATTTTTCAAGTAACCATATTTTTAGATTTATGTATACTACCATAACCTATAATTCTCTTTAATTTATATATCGTTTTTATATTATAACTATTTAAAGAAACTTTTAACGTAATAATTCATTTTTTATTACCATTATGATAAAATCCTATATAACCATCAGCTTCTATTAAACCAATAGCTCATTTGATTTCATTATTTATTAAATTTTTCATTATATTTATTTTTTTAATTTTTATAAAATTTATAAATTTTAATTTTTATAAAATTTTATTTTTTTATTTTTTTATAAAATTTTATTTTTTTAATTTTAAAAATTTTTTATTTCAAAAACAATATATAAAATAATATTTAACCTTATTTTCTATTCTTACGTGTAGTCTCTGAACGTTAACATAATATTATATAAAATTTTAATTATTTTATTTAATTATTTATTTAATTTAATTATTTATTTTATTAAATTATTTATTTTATTTAATTATTTATTTTATTTAATTATTTATTTTATTAAATTATTTATTTTATTTAATTATTTATTTTATTAAATTATTTATTTTATTTAATTATTTATTTTATTAAATTATTTATTTTATTAAATTATTTATTTTATATTAACGCGGCGAATTATCGTCATGTTTATAACATTTTTACGATACCATTTTATCTATGATAAATATATCAGTAGTCATAATATTAGGCGACTTCCTCGCATCGAGTAAGATTTTATAACGGCTTACCCATTTCTTCCAACCGTTCAACCAGTACCTGCTCCTCCTTCAACTAATGAAGAAGCTACTAATAAAATTAATGATGGTGGTAATAATCAAAAACTTATATTGTTCATTCTAGGGAAACTCATATCAGGAGCTCCAATCATTAAAGGAACAAAGAAATTACCAAACCCTCCCATTAAGAAAGGCATCACCAAAAAAAAAATCATCAAAAAAGCATGGGCAGTTACGATAACATTATATAAGTGTGAATCTCCAGCTAAAAAGGGACTACCAGGAATACTTAATTCCATTCTAATAATCACAGACATAGCTGTCCCTAAAAATCCACTAAAACTACCAAAGATAAAGTATAATACTCCAATATCTTTATGGTTAGTAGAAAAAACTCATCTTGTTAATCAACTCATATCTTTTATGAAAGACTTTTAACTTTAATAAAAGTTTAATTATAAATTAAATTTTATATTTTTTATAATTTTTATTTATTTAATTATATTCCTACTAATTTTTTAACTATATTTTTAAAATTATTATTTAAACAATATTTATATAATTTTTATATTATTTTTATATTATTTTATATTTTTTATAATTTAAATTTATTTAATTATATACCAATTTAATATTTATTCATTTTATAATTGATTTTATTTGATGAATTTTGTTCAAACATATTTATATAATTTTTATATTATTTTATTTGATATTTTTAATTTTTAATTTTAATTTATTCAATTTATCAAAATTTGTAATTCGAATATAAACTATAAATGTATAGAGTTATAATTTAAATTTATTAAATTTATCAAAATTATTAATTTTATTATATACTATAAATGTATAGAGTTATAATTTTAATTTATTTTATTAAATTATTAAATTATTAATTTTAATTTATTTTTATTTATTAAATTTATCAAAATTATTAATTTTATTATATACTATAAATGTATAGAGTTATAATTTTAATTTATTTTATTAAATTATTAAATTATTAATTTTAATTTATTTTAATTTATTAAACCTATCAAAATTCTTTACTCTATTATATTACATAAATTTGTCTCCTTTTATTATTATCCTTTTATTATTATCCTTTTATTATTATCCTTTTTTTATTTATTTTAATTTATTTTTAATTAATTTTTATTTATTTATATATATATTAACTATTTTATTAATTATATACCAAATAATTATTTTATTATTTACTTATTAATTTATTAATTATTATTAATTTATTTAATTTATTTTATTTATTTTATTTATTTTTATATAATTTTTATATTATTTTTATTAATTTTATTTATTTTTTATAATATATTTTATCCTTTTATTATTTTATCTTTATTTTATTGAATATTAACATATTTATATAATTTTTATATTTTTTTATTTATTAAATTTATCAAAATTCTTTATTCAAATATATACTATAAATTATGGTTATAATTTGAATTTATTTTTATTATTTTATTTATTTTATTTATTTTTATATAATTTTTATATTATTAAATTTATTTTAAAAATTCTTTATTTTATTATATACTACAAATTAGGAAAGAGTTATAGTTTTAATTTATTTTAATTTATTTTATTAAATTATAAATTTTAATTTTAATTTATTTTAATTTATTTTAATTTATTTTAATTTATTTTAATTTATTTAATTTATCCTCAAAATTATTAATTGGAGTATAAACCAAAATATTGTTTTAAGAAAACATTTTTATATAATTTTTAATTTATTTTTATTTATTAAATTTATCAAAATTATTAATTGGAATATAAACCCTAATATTGTTTTAAGAAAACATTTTTATATTATTTTTATTTATTAAATTTATCTTTCAATAAATTATTTATTCTATTATATACTACAAATTATGGTTATTATTTTTATTTATTAAATTTATCAAAATTCTTAATTCGAATATATACTTAAATATTATTTCCCTTTTATTATATAATTTTTATATTATTTTTATTTATTTTATAAATTATAAATTTAATATAATTTTATTATTTTATATTAAATTATTCTAATAATTATAATTGCAATATAAACAGTAAATTAACCTGCTTAATAACAAATAAAAATAAAGTAAACTCCTTACTACAATAATGAATTATAATAATAATGAATTATAATAAAAATTAATGTAATAAGGAGTTTACTCTATAATAATAATGAGAAAAATTATTGATAATAAACTTATAAAATTATAAAAATACTTTATAAAAAATAATAAAATTAAATTAAAAATATATAATTTTTAAATTTATAAGAATATTTTAATAATAAAATTATTCTTCTCTAGCTTCTTGAATTAAATTGTCTATATAAGTACAGTAATTTTCTAAATCAACTACTTCAATAGCAATAGGCATTACTGAATGTCCAATACCACATATTTCACTACATTGTCCATAAAATACACCATTTCTATAAGCTAAAAAACTTGTTTGATTTAATCTTCCTGGTATAGCATCTATTTTTACTCCTAATGAAGGTACAGCTCAAGAATGAATTACATCTGCTGATGTTACTATTACTCTAACATGAGTATTTTTTGGTAATACTACTCTATTATCAACTTCTAATAATCTTAAATCACCTAATTCTAAATCATCTTCAGGTACCATATAAGAATCAAAAGCTATAGTACTTTCTTGATCATCAGAAGATACATAATCACTGTATTCATAACTTCAATATCATTGATGACCTACTACTTTAATAGTAATAGCTGGATCAATTACTTCATCCATTAAATATAATAATTTAAATGAAGGAAAAGCTATACCTACTAATACTAAAGCTGGTGTAACTGTTCATATTAATTCAATTAAAGTACCATGAATCATAAATTTATGTGAAATAAACCTATTTACTTTATTAAAATTTCTTAATAATTCGATTAATATTCAAAATACTCCAAAAAATATAAAAGTCATATAAACAAATACATAATTATGGAAATTTATAATTTCTTCAAATACTGGACTAGCAGGATCTTGAAAACTTAATTGTCCTGGAACAGGAAAATCATTATTTATAATTAATTTTTTTAACATATTGTAGTTTTAGGAATTGAACCTAAAAATTAATATTAATTATGTTATATATAAAATATATAAAATATATTAAACCTTTCTACATTAATTTTAACCATTATTTGAATAAATGATTTTAATAATTTTAATAAAATAAATTTTTTATAAAAATTAAAAAATATAAAAAAATAATTAAATAATTTTAATTAAATAATTTTAATTAAATAATTTTAATTAAATAATTTTAATAATTTTAATAAAATAAATTTTTTATAAAAATTAAAAAATATAAATAAAGAATAATTAATTTTCCTATATTGCAGAGAGGGGAGTCGAACCACCTTAACCACTAGGTCATGAGCCTGGGAACAAAACCGTTTGTTAACTCTGCTATATTTTTGAACAAATAAAATGAGAATATAGTTTAATAAGTTAAGAAATTAGAGTAATTTCTAATTTTATATTAGAAAATATTATAAATATTTAAATATTATTAAATAATTGATAAGGTATTTTTTATTATAAAAATAAATTAAATATTAACAGTTAATTATAAAGTAAATAATATAAAATTATAAAAAATAAAAAATATTAAAATAAATATTTATTCATATTTGTTTCCATAAAATTATAAATAGATATATAATTAAATAAATAATATAAAATTATAAAAAATAAAAATTATTAAAATAAAAATTTTATAAAAATTATTAAAATAAATATTTATTCATATTTGCTGAAATTATAAATAGGTATATAATTAAATAAATAATATCAAATTATAAAAAATAAAAATTATTAAAATAAATATTTATTCATATAAAATTAATAGGGGTATAATCAATAAAATAGTTTTGATATATTTTAATAAAATAAAATAATAAAAATTAATAATAATTATTAAAATAAATATTTATTCATATTTGTTTCCATAAAATTATTAATAGATTTATAATTAAATAAAATAAAATTATAAAAAAATAAAAATTTTATAAAAATTATTAAAATAATTTAAATTATCAAATTATTCTCCTTTTATTAATTATCTATAAACTCTTATTAAATATATAATTAATAAACAAAATTAAATACAAAAAATATTAATTTTATTATTTTCAAATTTATTAATTATAATAAAGTAAAGAATTTTGATAAATTGAATAAATTAAAATTAAAATTTATAAAAAATTAAAATTTATAAAAAATATAATTTTATTATTTTCAAATTTATAAATTATAATAAAGTAAATAATAATTAAAATATAAATCTTTCAAATTTATTAATTATAATAAAGTAAAGAATTTTGATAAATTTAATAAATTAAAATTAAAATTTATAAAAAATTAAAATTAATAAATTATAATAAAGTAAATAATAATTAAAATATAAATCTTTTAAATTTATAGTTTATAATAAAGTAAATTATTTGCTGAAATATGAATAAAGTAAATAATAATTAAAATATAAATCTTTCAAATTTATTAATTATTATAGAGTAAAGAATTTTGATAAATTGAATAAATTAAAATTAAAATTTATAAAAAATTAAAATTAATAAATTATAATAAAGTAAATAATAATTTAAATATAACTCTATAAATTTATAGTATATAATAAAATAAAGAATTTTGATAAATTTAATAAATAAAAATAAATTAAAATTAATAATTTGCTCCTATTTACTGAAATATTAATAAAGTAAATAATAATTAAAATATTAATTAAGTAAATAATAATTAAAATATTAATTAAGTAAATAATAATTAAAATATTAATTAAGTAAATAATAATTAAAATATAAATCTTTTAAATTTATAGTTTATAATAAAGTAAATAATAATTAAAATATAAATCTTTTAAATTTATAGTTTATAATAAAGTAAATTATTTCCTTTATTTTTAAAGGATAAATATAACAAAATATTAATTTATAAAAAATATAATTAATATAAAAAGTTTATAGTATATAATGGAATAAATAATATAAAATAAAAAATTAAAAAAAATAAAAATTTATAAAAAATATAATTTAAAAAATAAAAAATAATATAAAAATAAAATAAATTTGATAAATATTAACCGCGGAAATATATAAAAATATATAATATATCCACGGTAAAAATATAAATATTATTAATTTATTCTTAAAAAGAAGGAATTAAATAATAAGAAAGAATAAAATTCTTATAATCTTTATTATATTGCTTATTATATATATGATTAAATTTTACTCTAATATGAAGTCCAGTATTTAATGGTATAGTTTTTAAATGAAAAGTAAGAGATTCTCTATTATTAGAATTAATTAATAAATCTTTATTAAACTGATAATTAGAGGAAAAATTAGGATAAAAATTAGATATTATTGATAAAGTATTATTATTATAAAATTTTAATTTATATAAATTAGATAAATTATTATCATTAATATTACTTTCCATTTTATTATCTATTTTGTAATCTTTTTGGATATTTTCAATAATATTTTTAAAATTTCATAAAAAACCATTATATGGTTGTATAGCGAATATATTAGATAAAGAAAAATCTTTTTGTATATCAAATGTTTTATCAAATTTATATTTATTCTCTTTTAAAGGGGAAGAAGAAATAATTGAATTAGAAGATAATAATACTAATCATTTTTTTAATCATCTTTCCATATTTTTATCCCTTAAATTTAATTTAACTCCTACTTCCATACCTTCTCTAACATTAAAATTAGCTACAGATTTTTTAGCTTTTATAAATGTCGGTAATTGAGTAAAAATTCGAGATAACATAAAATATGTTGTAAATATTCTTAATTTTGATCTCGTTTTATCTAATTCTTTATATGGCTTATTATCTAAATTAGATATTATTTCAATACTTTTAATATGTTTGAATTGTTTTTTATCTGGTGATATTAAAGGAAATTTTATTATTAAATCATTTGTTAATAATCTATTTCGATTTTTTACCAATTCTTTATAATACATTTTTTATTTAATTTGTTTTTATTTTTTTTTATAAAAAATAATATAATTTATATTATTTCATAATAATTTAATTAATTTATATAATTATAATTATATAAAAAAAATACTAAATATTATAATATTAAAATATAATATTATTTAAAAATATAATATTATAAAAATAAATATTAAAATATAATTTATTTAAAAATATAATATTATAAAAATAAATATTAAAATATAATATAATATTAAAATATAATATTATTTAAAAATATAATATTATAAAAATAAATATTAAAATATAATTTATTTAAAAATATAATATTATAAAAATAAATATTAAAATATAATATAATATTAAAATATAATATTATAAAAATAAATATTAAAATATAATATTATTTAGTAATAGAAACGATTTTAGTACAACCTTTTCTTTTTCGAATACTTTTACAAATAGGACCTTTAATTCTAGTACCAATAGGAGTATAATCATTATTTTTAATATTAATTAAAACTACAGAATTATCATCAAATTTGTTTCTAACTCCAGTATCGACTTTATTTTTATAATTATATGGTTTAAATAATGAGTTTTGTGTTATTTCATTATTATAAAAATTTTGTATATTTAAATAATTTGTAGTAGGTTTTTTAGAATATATAATTTGTTTATTTGATTCTATTTTTGTTCTTACTATTAATGCTTTATATATACTTCCTTTTAAATTTTTATTTTTTTGTGTTGTATTTGATAATGATGTAGATGATAAAGGTAAAGTTTTAGTTATAGTTACTAATATAACATCTCCAACTTTAGCTAATCTTTGTTTTCTACCCGATTTAGTACTTTTAGGTTTTATTATTTTAATACATTTACCTTCTAATCCTCCACTATTATCAATGATATTAACTTTACTTAATAAACCTATCATTTTTTATTATTTTTTAATTTTTTATTTGTTTTTTTATTTTTATTTTATTTTTATTATTAATTTTAATTATTTTATTTAATTAAAATATATCAAAACTATTTTATATAATTATTATTAATTTTAATTATTTTATTTTTATTATATTTATTTAATTAAAATATATCAAAACTATTTTATATAATTATTATTAATTTTAATTATTTTATTTTAATTATTTTATTTTATTAAAATATATCAAAACTATTTTATTAATTATTTACCTATAAATAATTTAATTATTTTAATATATCTTTCCTATTTTATTAATTATTTATCTTTAACTATTTTATTAACTATTTACTCTAATGACTATTTAATGAATTTTTATATAAAATATATATTTATAAATTTTTATTTTATATAATTATTATTAATTTTTATTATTTTATTTAATTAAAATATATCAAAACTATTTTATATAATTATATACCTAATAATAATTTAATTATTTTAATATATTAAAATATATCAAAACTATTTTATTAATTATATACCAAATAAGAATTTTGAGGAAACATTTTTATATAATTTTTATTTAATTAAAATATATCAAAACTATTTTATTAATTATATACCTAATAATTATTTCAGCATTTTTATATAATTTTTATATAATTTTTATATAATTTTTATATAATTTTTATATAATTTTTATATTATTTTTATATTTTATTAATTATTTATAAATTATTATTATAATTAATTATTTAATTATTTTTATATTATATATTTTATTGCACTATTTTCCTTTTATTTATAGTATTTTAATATTTTATTAATTATTATTTTAATATTTTATTAATTATTTACTCTAATGATTATTTAATGAATTTTTATATAAAATATATATTTATAAATTTTTATTTTTAATTTTATTTTTATTTATTTTTATTATTTATATACCTATTATACTATTTTGATATATTAAAAATAATATTAGAATATATTAATGTAATATTTTCAGTTTACATATTGTAATATAAATTGTAAATATATAAACTGAAAATAATAAAATAATTAAATAAATAAATATTAATTTATAAATTTCTTAAAGTTTTTAATAATATAGATTTATGTTGGTTAGGTTTTTGGTATAATTCTAAAGAAATATAATTAGCTAATAATTTATTATTAGAGGTGATTTTAGGTGCTTCTTTAATATTTAATTTTATATTATAATTTATATGATTAATATTATTAAGAATTTCATTTAATAAATAATATACTAATAAATTAACATTATTTATACTTATTTTTTTAATGAAAATTATTTGTGAATATTTAAATATATTTTTTAATTGATAAAAATTAATTTTTCTTAATAAATCTAAATATAAATTATTTTCAATATTTTGTTTAATTTGTTTAAATTTATTATTATCTAAATTTAATAATAGGTTATTTGAGGCAACATTATTATCACATAATTTAATTAAATAAGATATTTCAATATGTTCATTATTTATATAAGAATTTGAATTAATATTATTAAAATTATTAAAATTTATATTTGTGTTATTATTATTATTAAAATATAAATTACAATAATTAATATATTTTTTATTTGATTTTTTATTATTTTTAATTAATTGATCAAATATATTCGATCTTTTATTAATATTTAAATTATTTTTTAATAAAGGTTTTCTACTTATAACAATATCCGAAGTTAATATATTAAATGATTTATTAACATTTTCAATATATTTTCTAATTAATAAATCATTATGTAATAATTCTCTACCTATTTTTCTATAACCTTTATTTTGTAAATTTAAATAAGAAATTGATCATCATAAAAATTTAGAACCTAATCTAAACCTATTAGGATTTATTTTTTTTGCCATTTTTTATTATTTTTTATTTTATTCTATTTTTATATTTTATTTATTATATTTATATAATTTTTATTTTTATATAATATAAATATGATTAAATATTTAAATATTAAATTAATAAATATTATATAAATATTATATAAATATTATAAAATATGTATTTTTAGTAATATGAATTGTTTAAATAAATAGTACACTATACTATTATAAATATAATTTACTATTATTAATAATATATATATAAAAATATATAATGAAGTATATAAATTAATATATTATTATAATTTTAAGAATTATTATTATTATAATATATATAAAAATATATAATGAAGTATATAAATTAATATATTATTATAAATTTAAGAATTATTATTATTATAATATATAAATAAATATTATAAATAAATAATATATTATAAATAAATAATATATTATAAATATAATTATTTAATATTATTTTCGTTTAGATTTTCTTTTGTAAACAGCAGGTATTTTAGATACCGCAAATTCACCAGTTTTATGTCCTATATGTTTTATTGTAACATTTATTTTTACTGATTTTTTACTATTTCCTGTTTCGATATTAATATTTTTATTTACATCTTCAGGAGTAATGGTAATATTTCTAGTATTTTTATTTGACATAAAATTTGATTTTCATACTCCTTTTCAAATTGCTCTACTCATGATTTGGTTCGAGGAGTTTCGAAATCCCGACCCTCTAGTTAAAAGCTAGATGCTCTTCCTCTGAGCTACGAACCATTATATTATTATATTATTATATTATTATATTATTATATTATTATATTATTATATTATTATATTATTATATTATTATATTATTTTATTATTTTATTTTTTATAAAATTTATAAAATTTATTTATTTAATTATTTTATTTTTAAACTAAAAACATCTCAAAATTTATTATTACTATTATATACTTATTATTACTATTATACACTATTAATTACTATTATAAACTATAAATTACTATAATATAAAAATAATTAATTATTTTATTCTTAAATTAAAAATATCTCAAAACTTATTATTACTATTATATACTTATTATTACTATTATAAACTATAAATTACTATAATATTAAATATAATTACTACAATATATTAAAATATAACATTAATATAGTTATTTAATATATTATTTATTATTTTATTGGATATTTACTTAATTAGAATTTCAGCAAACTTGATATTATATATTTTATATTTTTAAATATATTTTTATAATTTTAATAATTTTTATTATTTTTATTATTTTTATTTATTAATAAATACTAACTATATATCATATTTATTATATTATATTTTATTGAATATTTATTATATTATATTTTATTGAATATTTATTATATTATATTTTATTGAATATTTACTTAATTAGAATTTCAGCAAACTTGATATTTTTATAATTTTAATTATTTTAATAATTTTAATAATTTTAATAATTTTAATAATTTTAATAATTTTAATAATTTTAATAATTATTTATTATTTTTATTTATTAATAAATACTAACTATATACCATATTTATTATATTATATTTTATTGAATATTTACTTAATTAGAATTTCAGCAAAATTTGTTATTATTTTTATAATTTTAATTATTTTAATAATTTTAATAATTTTAATAATTTTAATAATTTTAATAATTTTTATTATTTTAATAATTTTAATAATTTCAATAATTTTAATAATTTTAATAATTTCAATAATTTTAATAATTATTTATTATTTTTATTTATTAATGAATACTCACTATATACCTTATTTTTATATTTTATATTAATTAAGCCAGGGAGGATTTGAACCTCCGACCCTTCCCTTATGAGGGGATAGCTCTAACCAACTGAGCTACTGGCTCTTATAAGTATAAATATTTTATTTGTTATATTTAAAATAATAATAATAAATAATAATATTTTAATTAAAAAATAATAAAATTTTATTAATTTAATAATATATAATATAAATTTAACTTACATTTTATTTTAGTGTATATTTAGAATATTTAATTAAAGTAAAATTATACATTTATTATATTTTATATAATTTATTATTATTATTAAAAATATAATTAATTATTATTATAAATATTTATTATATTTTATTTAATATAATTTATTATATTTTATTAATTATTATTATAAATATTTATTATTTTTAACTATAAAAATTAAAATTCTATTATATTCTTTAAATTATTTATTATTTTTAATTGTAAATATTAAGTAAGATATTAATAATGTAAATTCAAATAAAATACTAAGAGGTATACAAATTATAATAAGAGTTATAATATCCGGAGGTGTTATTAATGCAGATAATATTAATAAAGAGAAATGAATATATTTTCGTATATTTTTTATAGATGATAATTGAATAATATTTAATTGAGATAAATAATAAAATATTAAAGGTGTAAAAGAAAATAAATATAATAATATAGTACTATTATAAATAAGATTATAAAAATCTTGTATATTTTGCATTAAAGTAAGATTATAATAAGAATTTTGAAAACTACTAAAATATAAAATTAAATATTTTAAAAATAAAGGTTGAATTATTATATTAATCATCGGAATAATTAAAAATATAAAAATAATAACAAATTTTTTTATATTATATTCTTCATATTTATATAATGCGGATCTAATATATAAAAAATTTAATAATATAATAATAAATAATGTTCCATAAAATCCTCATAACAATGATAATTTAATATAAATAATAAATGCTTCAGATATTTGTATATAAATTAATGATATATCTATATTCAAATATTTAATATATCATGATATTATAATTTCTATTTTATTATATATAATTATGGAAGTTAATATTCAAGTTAAAATACTATATAGAATAGTATAATAAAGTTCATTAATATGTTTACTCATTTTAGTTTTTTCTTTTTATATATTATAAAAATATATTAAAAATAAATAAAAATTAAAATTTATAAAAAATTAAAATTTATTAAAAATTAAAATAAAATATTAAAAATAAAATATTAAAAATAAAATATTAAAAATAAAATATTAAAAATAAAAAAAGTAATAATTAAACTATAAAATAAATAATAATTAATGTAATATACTATTATCTACTCTATAGTTTAATTATGAATATTATATAATGATGTTAATAATAATTAAATTATGAATATTATATAATGATGTTAATAATAATTAAATTATAATTATATTATAAAACTATTAAATCCTATTATTTTTTTATTAATCGCTTATTTATTCGTTTAGCTGTTATAGCATTAGATCTTGTTCTTTGACCTTTAGAAGGATATCCCATTTTAATTCGTCTTCCTCTTAATGCATTAATTTGAATTAGTGTATTAATTTGAGAAGATTCATAATCATTTAAATTTTCTTCAATTAATACTATATTTTTAGTAGATTTATTAAAAGTACTATTTTTATTAAATAAATATAAATTTAATTTATTTTTATCAATATTTTTATTATTAATTCGAGTATTTGTATTGTCTATATTAACATTTTCTAAAATACTATTATAATCTTGTTTTTTGATATTAGCTAATAATAAATTTAGTTCGTCAATATAATGTTCTGATAATTTACTGTATTCTATATTAGGATTTATACCCAATATTTGACATATATTAAATATTTTAAATTTACCTAAACCTTTTATTTTTAATAGGTTTCTATACAATGATAAATTTTTTTTAAATCTTGTTTCGTACATTATTATTATTTTTTATTTTTATTTATATAAATATTATTTTTTATATAATATATTTTATTATTTATTTATTTATTTATTTATTAGATTAAATTCTATTTAATTCTATTAAAAAATCTATATTTAAAATATAATTAATTTTTTTATTTATTTTATTTTATTATTTTTATTTTATAAATATATAAATATTATTTTTATTATATATATTTATTTATATTATAATTATATAAATATTATTTATTTATTTATTAGATTAAATTCTATTAAAAAATTTATATTAAAAATATAATTAATTTTTTTATTTATTTTATTTTATTATTTTTATTTTATAAATATATAAATATTATTTTTATTATATATATTTATTTATATTATAATTATAGGTATTAATGGACTTGAACCATTGACCCCCTACGTGTAAGATAGGTGTTCTACCACTGAACTAAATACCTTTATTTATTATATTTATTATATTATATTATATTATTTATCAAAATTTGTAATTCTATTATATACTATTAACTTTAATATTTACATAATTTATTTTTATTTTATTTTAATTTTATTTTTATTTTATTTTAATTAATTTTTATTAATTTACTTAATTTATTAAACCTATCAAAATTTGTAATTCTATTATATACTATTAACTTTTAATATTTATATTATTAATTTTTATTTTATTTTAATTAATTTTTATTAATTTACTTAATTTATTAAACCTAAATAAAATTATTTACCCTATTATACACTCTAAACTTTTAATATTTACATAATTAATTTTTATTTAATTTTTATTAATTTACTTAATTTATTAAATCTATCAAAATTCTTTACTCTATTATATTACATAAACTTTATGTTATTATATATAACTCTATAATATACTATTTATTTTAAAAGTTTATATTTTTATAAATTTATATTTTGTTATATTTTTTAATTTTTATTTTATATAATTTATTTATTAAATTTATCAAAATTCTATTTACTATTATATTATTTTAATTATGGGATAATTATTTTGATTAATTTTATTAATTTTATTTATTTTATTAATTTTATTAATTTTATTAATTTTATTAATTTTATTAATTTTATTAATTTTATAAATTTTTATTTTTTATTAATTTTTATTTTTAATAAATAAATAATTTTACATATTTTTACTTTATTTTTTACTTTATTTTTTCAGAGAAAAGGGAATCGAACCCCTACTACTTAGTCCCAAACCAAGAGTTCTACCTTTAAACTATTCTCTGTTTAAATAAATAAATTCTCTAATATAAAAAGTATTAAAAAAGAATTATAGAATCATTTTTAATACTCATTTTAAATATAAATAAAAATTTATATAAAAATTAATAATAAAATGACTCTACAATATTTTCTATTAATAGTATCTATACTATATTTAAATTAATAATAACACAATAATTATAAAAAATATTCAAGAAAATTTATATTAAGGTAATGTCCGGGGTAAGAATCGAACTTACTTCCTATCCTTTTCAGGGATAAGCTTTGACCTTTTAAGCTACCCAAACTATCTTAAATATTATATATTATAATTCAATATATTAAAAATATAAAATAAATCAAAATAAATAATATATACTATAATTTTATAAATTTTATGATTTTTATTTTTTATTTTTATTTTTTTAATTTTTATAAAATTTAATTTTTTTAATTTTTATAAAATTTTATTTTTTTAATTTTATTTTATTTATTATTTAATTAAAAGAAAATAAATAATAATAAAGAGATCAACATTAAACAAATCTCAAATTCGGTTGGGTTTGGTGTTTTTTTTTAATTTTTAATATGCTGACCTCTATCTTCTTGGTGGGACTCGAACCCACATGTCTTTCGACAAAAAATTTTAAATTTTTCATGTGCTACCAATTTCATCACAAGAAGTACATTTTTTAATATACATAATATATATTAAATAAATATTTTATTATAAATAAATTTAATTTATTACTCACTTAATAATTAAAAGTGATTAAAAGTTAATTATTTATATTAACTAATAATGTTTTTCCTAATTTTACCACTTAATAATTTAAAGTGATTAAAAGTTAATTATTTATATTAACTAATAATGTATTTCCATATTAAACCTAAATTATTTTAAATTATATTATTTTTATAAAGTTATTAATAAAAAATTTTATAAAACTATAGTATAAATTTAATGCCAGAGGGAATTGAACCCTCAACTACACCTTATGAGGGTATCGTTTTTACCAATTAAACTATAGCATTATACTATATTATAAAAGAATATATTAATAAAAGAATATATTAATAAAAAGATATTAATATAAAATGTGTATATATCCCAAACAGGACTTGAACCTGTATTGTTTGAATGAAAATCAAATTTCCTAACCACTTAGAAGATTGGGACAAAACTAATAATAAAATTAATAAAATTAATAAAATTAATAAAAATTAAAAATTAATAAAATTAATAAAAATTAAAAATTAATAATTAATAAAAATTAAAAATTAATAAAATTAAAAATTAATAAAAATTAAAAATTTATAAAATTAATAAAAATTAAAATTTTATAAAATTAATAAAATTAATAAAAATTAATAATGATATAATATGAATATAAAGCAGAATATATTAGAAAAAGAAATACAATCTGCTTTATAAAATAATTAAATAAATGAATTTAGAGAAATATAATACATAATATTTAAATGAATGTTATAAATCTCTTAATTAATTTATAAATTTTATAGAAATAGCATTCTTTTACTAATCTGCTTTATAAAATAATGAAATAAATGAATAAGGAGGTATAAATATATAATAAAAAATTAATAGATAATTAACCCCTTAATAAATTTATGAATTTTACTGAAATTGTACCTCTTACTCTATAATAAGCTACTAATATAGATAAACCTATAGCAGATTCAGCAGCTGCTACAACTAGTATATAAAAAGCAAATATTTGCCCACTTATATTATCCAATATAGCTGAACCCAATATTAATACAAAATTAATACTTAATAACATTAATTCTAATGACATTAACATTACTATTATATTTTTTCTATTAACTACTATTCCTAAAGTTCCTAATATAAATAATACAAATCCTAAAATTAAATATTGTTCTACCATTTTTTTTATTTTATTTTATTTATTTTTATTTTTTATTTTTTTAATTTATTATTTTAAAAAAGTTAATAATAAACCATATAAATTTATATAAATTAATTATAAATTTATTTTTTATTTTTTATAAATTTTATTAATTTTATAAATTTTATAAATTTTATAAATTTTAATTTTTAATTTTATTTTAATTTATTTTTTATTTTATTTTATTGATTATATTTTTCTAGTTATTATTTTAAGGAATAAGCGCAAATTATTATATTAATTATATATCTATTATTTATTTTTATTTATTATTTTAAAAAAGTTAATAATAAATCATATAAATTTATATAAATTAATTATAAATTTATTTTTTATTTTATTTTATTGATTATATTTTTCTAGTTATTATTTAAAGAAATATGAGCAAATTATTATATAAATTATATTTTTCTAGTTATTATTTAAAGGAATATGAGCAAATTATTTAAAGAAATATGAGCAAATTATTATATAAATTATATACCTATTATTTATTTTTATTTATTATTTTTATTTATTATTTTTATAAATTTTATTTTATTATTTATTAAATAAAACAATATAATATAATAGGATAACCTATAAATTATTATATTTATAAATTACCCTATTAATTTTTGTAATGATACTATTATTAATTATTTTCAGTTAAACTGAATACATTTAATTAAATTGTATAATTATGAGAATAAAATTAAGAAAGAGATCATTAAAGCAAATAAAGCAACAGCTTCAGATAAAGCAAATCCTAAAATAGCATATGTAAACATTCCTTGTTTTAAAGAAGGGTTTCTTGCATATCCTGTGATTAAAGATCCAAATACTGTACCTATACCAGCTCCACTACCAGCAACTCCAATAGCAGCTAATCCTCCTCCAATAAATTTAGCAGCTTCTACCATTTTTATTAAAGTTAAATTTTGAAGAACTTAACAAATTATGTTTATTTCTAATAAATTATTATTTTTATTAGAGTTCCTCGAATATAATACATTATCTCTATATAATTATAATTTTAATATATATTATTAGATTTTAATGTTTTTACGAAAATGGCGGGGCTTGAACCCGCATCCAACTGTTTGACAAACAGTTACATTGACCTATTATGCTACATTTCCTTTTATTTATATTTAATATTTTATTATTTAATATTTTATTATTTAATATTTTATTTTTATTATTTTTTATTTTAATAATTTAATTATTTAATATTTTATTATTTAATATTTTATTTAAATATTTAATTATTTAATATTTAATTATTTAATATTTTATTATTTAATATTTTATTTAAATATTATATTTAAATATTTTATTTAATATTTTATTAAAATATTTTATTAGATTATTTATTGAATATTAGTACAAATCGATTTTACAGACCCAGGATTCGAACCTGAATTACTTGAATCAAAATCAAATGTCCTACCATTAGACGAGTCCGTATATATTATCGTTAATAAATAAAAAATAAAAAAAATAAAATTTATAAAATTTATAAAAATTATAATTAATAATTAAAATATATATATATTATCGTTAATAAATAAAAAATAAAAATTAATAAAAATAAAAATTTATAAAATTTATAAAAATTATAATTAATAATTAAAATATATATATATTATCGTTAATAAATAAAAAATAAAAATTAATAAAAATAAAAAATTAATAAAATTTATAAAATTAATAAAATTTATAAAATTAATAAAAATTATAATTAATAATTAAAATATATATAAATTATAATAAAATTAAAAGCCAAATAAATATCTAAATTTTAATAAATGAGATTATTAACTAGAGTTTATTTGGCTAATTTATTTATTAAAATAATTTTAATTTATCGTATTTAGTAATTAAATGATTAATTTTTTCTAATCTTTTAGTAGCATTTTTAGATAATTTATTATTAGATGTTTCATTAATAGCAGTTTTCAATCAATAATTAAGTATTTCTTGATGTTCTTTAAATGTTGGATTTTTAATTATAACCGCATATGAAGAATTATTTTCATTAAATTGTAAAACGTAAGATAAATTTCATGATGAATTATTGTGATTATTAGTTGAATTAATATATTCTAACATTAAACCTTTTTTTAAATATATAATAGTATTATGATTATTTATTTTTTTATTATTATAATAAATATTTATTTGATTATTTTTTAATAAATTTCTGGCCTCATGTAAAGTATTTGCTCAATTTAATCGACATATCAAAACATCTATTCTTGTTTCTATACTATCAAAATTAGATATTTTTTTAAATTGTTTTTCTTGTAATTTAACATTTTTACTAAATTTTAATTGATTATTATTATTTATTTTTTTACTTTCATTTAAACTTAAAAAATTATTTTTTCCATATAATCATTTAAAACTTTGTTTTACTATAAATTGATTTTTTCATTCTTCTTTTAAAGATTGCATATTTTGTCTATTAAATCTTCTATTTTTATTTTGTATTTTATTTAAAGAATTATTAAATTCTTTTTTTAATTTTATTTGTGATTCTTTTATCATAATTATTTATTTTATTTTTTTTTATTATTTATTAAAAACAATTTATTATTGTTTTTTATTAAATTATTTTTTAATATTATAATTTTATTTTATTATAATTTTATTTTATTATTATATTAAATTATTAATAATTTAATATATTATATAATAATTTAATATATTATATAATAATTTAATATATTATATACTCCAGGTTAGCCAGGAATTGAACCCGGGTAATTGCGTTTGAAGCACAAAGTAATGACCACTATACTACTAACCTATATTCTCTATAAATTATATTATTTATAATCATATTATTTATTTATTTTTCTATATATACTACTTTTTATATATATTTATTACAATAAAATATTATAATATATTTTTTAATATATAAAGTAATAATATATTTTTTAATATATAAAGTAATAATATATTTTTTAATATATAAAGTATTGTAGTTAAAATGAAGAATATAAATTATAAGTTTATTATATTTATTGAATATAAACCTTATTATATTTATTGAATATAAACCTTATTATATTTATTGAATATAAACCTAATATATTTATGGAATATTCATCTATAATATTTATAGGGTATAAGCCTAGTGGGACTTGAACCCACGCTAACCAACCTTATCAAGGTTGTGCTCTAACCAACTGAGCTATAAGCTTATATTTTAAAGTTTTATATTTTTAAGTTTTATATTTTTAAGTTTTATATTTTTAAGTTTTATATTTTTAAGTTTTATATAAGTTTTTTATAAGCTTTATATTTGCGTATTGTATATAATATTAATTATATTATTAATATTTTAAAAATACTTTAAAAAGTATAAATTAATAATTATAAATAATTTTTATAATTTAACAATAAAATAGGTTATTAGTACCTTAAATTTTATTAATTTTTATAAATTTTTATAAATTTTAATTTTATTTTAATATTCATTAATTTTTATAGTATATATTGCTATTAAGAATTTTAATTAATAATTTATTAATTTTTATAAATTTTTATAAATTTTAATTTTATTTTAATATTCATTAATTTTTATAGTATATATTGCTATTAAGAATTTTAATTAATAATTTATTTATTTTTAATTTTTATTTATTTTTAAATTATGTTATTTTATATTTTTTAAATAATAAACATCTCAAAACTTCTTATTACCATTATACACTATTAATTACTATTATTTTATTCTTATTACTATTATTTTATTCTTATTACTATTATATACTTTAAATTACTACTATTTATTAATTATTAATTATTAATTATTAATTATTATTATATTAATAGGTATATAGTAGTAGTTTATATAAATTTATTACTATCATAAACTTATTATTTAATTTTTATTAATTTAAAATTATTTTTAAATATTTAAATAATAAACATCTCAAATTTATTATTACTATTATATACTCATTATTACTTATTATTAAATTTTTATTAATTTATTTATTTTTAAATTATTTTATTTTATATTTTTTAAATAATAAACATCTCAAAACTCAATATTACTATTATATACTTATTATTACTATTATATATTATCATTACTGTCATATACTTATTATTACTATTATTTTTAAATTATTTTATTTTTAAATATCTAAATAATAAACATCTCAAATTAATTATTACTTATCATATACTTATTATTACTATTATTTTTAAATTATACCATTATTGTACTGAATTATTTTTTTATTATTTTATTTATTATATATTTAATTTTAATTTTGATATTATATACCTATTAATTATTAAGATATTTTATATTATTTAATAATTTTTAATAATTTTTAATAATTTTTAATAATTTTTAATAATTTTTAATAATTTTTAATTTTTATTTTATCTTTATTTTATTCATTATTTATTAATTAATTCTTTCCCTTTTTAAAAGGAATATTTTATTGGGTATTCACTAATTAATTATTTTGTTCAAACATATTTATATAATTTTTATAAAATATTATTTTTAATTTTTATTTTATCTTTATTTTATTGAATATTTACCAATTAATAAATTTAACTAAATATTTAATTTAAAATTTCAGCAAACTCTTTATTAATTATTTTTTATATTTTTAAATATATTTTTATTAATTTTTAATTTTTATTTTATCTTTATTTTATTTAATATTTACCAATTAATAATTTTAACTAAATATTTAATTTTAAATTTTTTTTCAAACAAACTTGATATTATATATTTTATATTTTTAAATATATTTTTAATTTTTATTAATTTTATAAATTTTATTATTTTTTAATAAAATAAATTTTATTTTTATAAATTATAATTTTTATAATATTAATAAATTTATATAAACTACTACTATATACCTATTAATATAATATATATTTAGTAATAGTTTATATAAAAATTATAATTAAATTAGATTGATTTATTTACTGGTAAAAAAGTAAAAACAAATCTAATTAAAATTAAAGTTAATAATAAATTTAAATAATTTATGAAATATGTACTTAAAGATAAATCTATATTACTATTAATAAATGTGATATAAAGAGTCACTGATAAAAATATAGTGAAAGCATAATTATAAATAAATCCTGATTGTAAAGCACTAAAATTTTTAGTGATATAAGAAATAGATTTTGAAATACCAAATGGTCCGAATATTTCTATTCATCCTCTATCGAATGTTTTATAAGTTGTATTATGACCAAAATTTAATAAAGGTCTTGCTATAAAATTATTATAAATTTGATCGATATGTCATTTATTATTTAAAAAAGTATATACTTTTCGTATAAAATTATTAATAAAATTATCAGTTATGAATATATTTACTAATATATTATATACAAAATTAAAATGATAAATAATTAAACTTAATAAAGCACCACTAATACTAATTATAACTGGTATTCATTTTGTAAATATATCAATATGTTCAGCATCAATAAATACATCACCACCATTTAAATTAGGTTTAATAAATATAGCATTACCTAAAAAAGGTGAACCTATACCTATAATAGCATCTTTAAATATATATCCGAAAAATATACTTCCAATACTTAATATGAATAATGGTAAAGTCATTTGTCATGGACTTTCATGACTATTTTTATAGTTCATTTGTGAACCATTAGTATCACTTAAAAATGTCATATAAATTAATCGTATTGAATAATAGGCTGTCATACCAGCTGCTAATGTTCCTAATAAATGAGCAAATGTTCCATCTATTGTATATTTTCCATAAGCTAATTCTAAAATAGCATCTTTTGAATAAAATCCTGCTAAAAATGGGAATCCCATTAATGATAAAGAACCTATTAACATCATAGAATATGTATATGGTATTCTTTTAATTAAACCCCCTAATTTTCTCATATCTTGTTCATCACCCATAGCATGTATTACACTACCAGCTCCTAAAAATAATAAAGCTTTAAAAAATCCGTGAGTAAACAAATGAAATAAAGCTACATTATAATTACTTAATCCACAAGCTAATACCATATATCCTAATTGGCTACATGTTGAGTATGCTATTACTTTTTTTATATCATTTTGTACTAATCCTATACTTGCTGCAAATAAAGCAGTTAATGTTCCTACTATTGTTATAATAACTAATGCTTTAGGTGCATATTCTATTATTGGTGAAGATCTTATTAATAAAAATACACCCGCTGTTACCATTGTAGCGGCATGAATTAAAGCACTTACCGGTGTTGGCAAAAATAAAGAAATAAAGTTATAGAATTTATTTATTAATTTATTTTTTGGACTATATCATAATCTAAATAAATAATAATTTTTTAAATTATTTAATAAAAATTTAAAATTTATAAATTATTTATGAAAATATTGTTTTTAATATAAAATTAATAAATTAATTAATTTATAAAAAATTATAAAAAATTAAAAATTTATAAAAATTTAAAATTTATAAAATTTATAAAAAATTAAAAATTTATAAAAATTAAAAATTTATAAAATTAAATAAAATTAATAAAATTAATAAAATTAATAAAAATTATAAAATTAATAAAATTAATATATAATAAATAAAAATTAAAAATAAATAAATTATTTATGAAAATATGTTTAAAATGTTAATAAATCATTTAATATATAAAATTAATAAAATTTATTAATTTCTAAACTTAAAAGTTTCATTTGTTCATAACCAACACCATAATGTTTTTTATTTAAAATTTTGTTTCTTAATTTACAAAATTTAGTAAATGCAACACTTTTCATAGTTTTATGTGGGTAAGAATTTATATATTTAATAATTTGATTCATTTCCTCATATTTAGAGATTGTTCATTTGACATTTTTATGTCCATCTCGTCTTCCTAATTTTAATACAGTTAATACATTATTTATTCATTCTATATCATTTTGTGTAAAAACACACATTTTAATGTTGTTAATTGGATTACGTTTATTTTTGACTATTGATAATGAAATTTTCCAATATCCATTACCATCTATAAACCCTGATAATCAACCATTATTTAATGATATATATTGAGGATGAGGTTTGGTTTGTATTATAAAGTCAGATCCTATTAATGATTTAAATTGTTCATTTTTCATTCAATGTTCACATCAAATTTTAAATGAATTTAATTTAGAAGATGTTACTATATTTCCATTAAATAATAAAGCTATTTGTACAGCTATATTTATATTTGTATTATTTGTTTGTCATCTCATTGTTTCATTTTTTGAACATTTTTTAAATACCTTACCCATACCTAATACAGTTTTTATTTGATATAATAATTTTACATCACTTGACTTTTGAGTTATATTTACACAACCATTTTTTTCAAATGAACCATTTGCTTCAAAAAACCCTATAAATCATGTTAAAAAATCTATATCAATAATTTTAATAGTTTTATGTTGAGGTAATACTGTATAAAAATTAGTGAAATTAAATTCATTGTTTTCTAAATTATTATTTTCTAAATTATTATTTTCTAAATTATTATTTTCTAAATTATTATTTTTATTTATTAATTTATTCATTTATTTTATTTTTTTATTTTTTTATAAATTTTATTTTTTATAAATTTTATTTTTTTTTAATTTTTTTATTTTTTTTATTTTTTTATTTTATATTAATTTTAATATTATTTATTATGTTATTTTATTTAGACTTTTAGCGTGTAGTCTCTGAGGATCCTTATTTCTAATTATATTATTAATTTAAACGTGTAATGAATACACTAACTTAATATTAATATAAAAAAGTATATTATTATTAATCATAATATAAAAAAGTATATTATTATTAATCATAATATAAAAAAGTATATTATTATAAACAGTTTTTAACTTAAACTTATAATATAAATCATAGAACATCTGTTTCCTGCTGATTGCTCAATATTAAAGATTTTAACTACTATAAATAAATAAGAAATTATTATAATGAGTACTTTAATATTAACGAGTGTTCCAGCATATAGCTAAATTTTTTTATATGTATTCACATACATAGGGGGCCCTATTATATATTTTATATTTTACCTAACCCTCCATAGCATCCGGTAATCATGTGTGTAATCCTAATTGTGCCGATTTACCAACAGCTCCTAAAAATAATAATATACTTATTAAAGTTAAAGCATGAATTTCGTAATTAAAAAAAATGATAGTATAATCACTTAATTTATAAGTTGATGAAAATATAGTACTATAATCTAAAGTATTAAATACAACAAATATAGCAAACATTCCTAAAAATAATGTCATATCTCCAACTCGATTCATAACCATAGCTTTTATTGCTGATTTATTAGCTTGAATTCGAGTATATCAAAAATTAATTAATAAATATGAACAAATTCCTACAGATTCCCAACCTCAAACACATAATAAATATGAATCAGCTGTTACTAACATAACCATAGAAAAAGTAAATAAAGATAAATATGACATAAATCTAGGTAAATGTGGATCTCCATCCATATATGAAATTGAATATAAATGTACTAAAGATGATACTGTAGTAACTAATATTAACATTGTTACTGTTAAACTGTCATACATTAATCCTAAAGACATATCTAAATATGTACCTACATTTATTCATTTTCATAATGGAATATATACAGGTGACATATTAATACCTACTTCATAAAAAGCAATTCATGAAAATAAACTAGTAATCATAATACATATTGTAGTAATAATACCAGCTCCTTTAGTACCTATAAATCTTCCACCTAAACCAGCTATTACAGCACTCAATAATGGTAAAAATAATATTAAATAATACATTGGTAAATTTTTTATTGGTAATAATTCATAATATATCTTTTATTTCAAATAAAAGTTATTATATTTTTATTACATTTTTGATTATATAAATATATATTATACAAAATATCCAATAAAAATGAGATATATAAATATATACTATATAAATTGTCTGGAGAGAATCGAACTCTCGACCAATAGTTTAGAAGACTAATGCTCTACCTCTGAGCTACAGACAAATATATTTTGAATAATAATTTATAGGAGAATAATTTATAAAATAATGTATAAAGAAAATAAAAATTAATAAAAATTTTTTATAAAAATTAATAAAAATTAATTAAAATTAAATAAAATAAATAAAATAAATTAAATAAATTAAATAAATAAAATAAATAAAATATATAAAATAAATTAAGTAAATTTATAAAATATTATAAAATAAATAATTTATAAAATATATAATATATTAATATATTAATATCGAGTTTGCTGAAATTCTAATATTAAAAATAAATAAATTCTAATATTAAAAATAAATAAATTCTAATATTAAAAATAAATAAATTTAAATAAAATAATCTCTTTAAATAATTAATAGCAATATAAATAATAAAATAAAATAAAATATAAAAAATAATATTTTCTTTAAATAATAATTTTATAATAATAATTAATAAAATTATAATAAATAATAAAAACAAATAAAATATTATAAATAAAATTAAAAAAATATTAAAATAAAATATTTAAATATAATATTATAAATAATCTCTTTTAATTTTTATTAGCAATATATAATATAAAAATTAATGAATATAAAAATAAAATTAAAATTAATAAAAATTTTTTATAAAAATTAATTAAAATTAATTAAAATTAATAAAAATTAATAAAAATTAATAAAAATTATTAAAAATAAAAAATTAATAAAATTAATAAAATTAATAAAATTAATAACTTTTATATAAAATTTATATAAATAAAAATAATAAATTTAATTAAATATTAATTTATAAAAATATTATCAATTATTTTGTTATATTATCCTAATAATTATTTGGTCATTTTTTAAAAAATACAAGTATTTTGTTATTATAATATATTTTGTTATATTATCCTAATAATTATTTTGTTATATTATTCTAATAATTATTTGGTCATTTTTTAAAAAATACAAGTATTTTGTTATTATAATATATTCCATTTATCCTTATAAATATATGGTTATTTAAAATATTTAATTATTTAATTTAAATTTTTATTTATTATTTATATTATAAAATTTTAATTTTGATATATTATAATTATTAATTAATTATAATTTTATTTATATTAAATATATAAATTTTTATTATCCCATAAAATAAACAAAAAAAATTAAATTTATGAAATAATAAAAATAGATAATTTAATAAACTTTAATAAATAATTAAAAAAATATTAATTAATAATAAATTTATAATTAAAAAATATTAATAATAATTAAGAAACTTTAACAATTTTAGTTTTAATTCCTAATTTACTATTAACAACATCAAAAATTTGTTTAGCTATATTAAAACATCTAATTTGGATATTTTTGTTATTATTAATATTAGCATTTTTAAATTTTAATTCAAAAATAGGTGAACCGATTCTTATTCTAGTCATTCAATAATCTATACTTCCTTTACCTTTACCCATTCTAACTTCAGCGGGTTTTTTAGTAACAGGTAAATGTGGAAAAACATGTAAATTATAGTCACCTTTAATATTAATTTTATTACCTTCTATATCCGTAATTGATAAATTTGATGATTTAAATTTTATATTTAATTCTCTTTTTATTGCTAATTCACCAGCTGCAATATGTGAAGCAGTTAATCTTAAAGGTTCCATAGCAATTAATAAATATCTAAAATCTTTATTTTCTAAATTCTTTTGAAATAAATTAGATTTATTAACTGGTAAATTACTATTTATTCTACCTTTTTGATATTTACTATATTTAGTTCTTTTTGGTCTTTTATTTAACATATTTCCTTATATTTTATTTTAAATAATTTATTTTTATTTTAAAAAAATATTTATATTATTTTTTTATTTAAATATTTTTAATATTATAAAATAATGATATATATACAATAAATTAAATTTTATTAAATTAATAAAAATTAAACTTTTAAATTAATAAAAATTAATAAAAATTAATAAAAATTAATAAAAATTAATAAAAATTGATAAAAATTAAAAATTAATAAAAATTAAACTTTAAATAAATATAAAAATTAAACTTTAAATAAATATAAAAATTAAACTTTAAATAAATATAAAAATTAAACTTTAAATAAATGAATCTCCTCAAATTATTAATTCTATTATAAACTTTAAACTTGAAATTTTCTTAAATTATAAATATTATTATAAATTTTAAATAAATGAATTTCCTTAAATTATTAATATTATTATAAACTTTAAATAAATGAATCTCCTCAAATTATTAATTCTATTATAAACTTTAAAAGTATTATATTATTTACTTTCAAATTTATTATATATTTCCCTATTGAAAATTTCGGCATTTAATTATTTATTTTATTATTTATTTAATATTTTTTTAATTATTTATTTAATTATTTATTTTATTATTTATTTAATATTTTTTTAATTATTTATTTAATTATTTATTTAATATTTATTTAATATTATTTATTTTTATTTATTATTTTTATTTTTATTTTATTTTAAATAATTTATTTTTATTTAATATTTATTTAATATTATTTATTTTATTTATTATTTTTATTTTTATTTTATTTTAAATAATTTATTTTTATTTTATATCCAAATTATTACTCTATTATATACTATAAATTTGGTTTATATTTATTTAATATTATTTATTTTTATTTATTTATTATTTTTATTTTTATTTTATTTTAAATAATTTATTTTTATTTTAAATTATATTTATTATATTATTTTATACTTTATTTTGATATTATTTCTATATTTAAATATCTATTTATTTTCTTTACCTTTTTAAAAGGAAATAATATAAATATATATTTATTATAGTGTAAATATACACTTTATAATTATATTATCTATTTAGTTTTAGGTTTTTTAGTTCCATATTTTGATCTAGAAGTTTTTCTTCCTATAACACCAGCTAAATCATATTTACCTCTAACACATTTTAATTTTATTCCAGGTAAATCTTTTACTCTTCCACCTCTAATTAATACTATACCATGTTCTTGTAAAGAATGTCCTTCTCCAGGTATAAATGCATCAACTATTAAACCATTTGTTAATTTAACTTTAGCTATTTTTCTTTGAGCTGAATTAGGTTTTTTAGGTTTTCTTGTTAAAACTCTAATACAAACTCCCTTTAATTGAGGATTAATTAAACCTTGATTTTTTAAAAATTTAGATCCTGCAGTTATTCTAGTTTTTCTTTTTCTAATATTTTTTTTAGATAATTGGTTTATTGTTGTCATTTTTATTTTTATTTTTATTTTTATTTTTTATTTTTATTTTTTATTTATTTTTATTTTATTAAAAATTTTATTTTTTATTTTTTATAAAAATTTTATTTTTTTATAAATTTTATTTTTTTATTTTTTTATAAATTTTATTTTTAATTTTTATTGTATACTTATATATACTTATATTTACCTAATAATTTCATGTATATATTACTAAAAACTATAAATTAAATTTATTATTATAATTTTTATTTTATTTATTATAATTTTTATTTTATTTATTATAATTTTAGTTAAGTTGGGCGATTAATGGGACTCGAACCCATGCAAATTTCTGCCACAAAGAAACACTCTACCAACTGAGTTATAATCGCCATATTTTTAATAATATAATTGTTATATTTTTAATAATATAATTGTTATATTTTTAATAATATAATTGTTATATTTTTATAATATAATGGAATAATATAATTAAATAATATAATTTTATTATATGCGGAAAAGGTGGGAATCGAACCCACAAACTAAATATAGTGCCTTCTTAGCAGGAAGGGTATCTTACCAATGAAAACTTTTCCCATAAATATGATGCATTAATCATAAATCATAAATATAATAGATTTATTTGTCTATACTATATATTAATAAAAAATTCAAATTTAAGAAAATTTAAAAAATATTAAAAATAATAAATATAATAAATTTATTTGTCTATACTATATATTAATAAAAAATTCAAATTTAAGAAAATTTAAAAAATTTAAAAAATATTAAAAATATTAAAAATATTAAAAATAATAAATATAATAAATTTATTTGTCTATACTATATATTAATAAAAAATTCAAATTTAAGAAAATTTAAAAAATATTAAAAATAATAAATATAATAAATTTATTTGCCTATACAGAGATTCGAACTCTGCCCATCTGGTTACAAAACAGACGCACTACCTAATATGCTATATAGGCTAATAATAATAAAAAAATAATAATCAAATAAATAATGAATAAATAATAATATATAATATTATATTAAATATATTATCAATTAAATTGATTTATATTAATAAATAAATCAAAATATATTTAATTTAAATTATTTAATAATAAAAAAGGAAATTAATAATATAAAAATTATATTTTTTATAATTTATAAAAATAAAATATTATTAATATTAGTTATATTAGAGAATAATCTATGCTGTAATTGAAGTAACAACATAGATTATAAAAAGATTATATATTAATAAATTAATAAATTAATAAATTAATAAATTTAAAAATTTTAAAAATTTTAAAAATTAAAAAATTTAAAAAATTTAAAAAATTAAAAAATTAAAAAATTAAAAAATTAATAAATTAATAAATTAATAAATTTAGAAATTTGGACATAGTCATTAAAAGCAATTAAAATTGAAGCTGTAAGAATTAAAAATCCTAAACTTAAAGGTAAATAAGATTTTCACATTAATTCCATTAAAGTATTATATCTAAATCTTGGAAATGTTGCTCTAACTCATACAAAAACAAAAATTATAAATCCAGTTTTTAATGCTAATCAAATTTCACCAGGTATTAAATTAAAAATAAAAAAGTCAAAAGGTGGTAATCAACCTCCAAAAAATAATAAAGAAGTTAAAATACTCATAAATATAATATGTGTATATTCAGCTAAAAAGAATAATGTAAAGAAAATAGCACTATATTCAACATTATAACCACTAACTAATTCTGATTCACCTTCAGTTAAATCAAAAGGAGCTCTATTAGTTTCAGCTAATGCACTAACTAAAAACATAATAAAAGCAGGAAATAAAGGTATAATAAATCAAATATTTTTTTGAGCTAATACTATAGATGTTATATTTATATCACCTACACATAATATTACTGATAATAATATTAATCCCATTGAAACCTCATAACTTATCATTTGAGCTGCTGCTCTTATAGCACCAAAAAATGCATATTTAGAATTACTTGCTCACCCTGACATCAATATTGCATATACACTTATTGATGATACTGCAAATATATATAATAATCCTATATTTACATCAGCTATTACTTTTCCTTCATTATATGGTATTACTGCTCAAGATATTAATGCTAATGTAAAAGCAGCTACTGGTGATACCACAAATATTATCATATTAGCATGTGTTGGTAATACCGCCTCTTTTACAAATAATTTTAAACCATCTGCTAATGGTTGTAATAATCCAAATACTCCCACTGCTGTAGGTCCTTTTCTTAATTGCATTGATGCTAATACTTTTCTTTCTGCTAATGTTAAATAAGCAACTGCTATTAATACTGGCACCACTATTGCTAAAATTTTTAATATAATTTCTATTATTGTTAATATTAAATTTAATGTCATTTTATTTTATTTTTTATTATTTATTATAATTTTATTAATTTATAACAAATTTATTATATTTTATTAATTATTATTATAATATTATTTTATATTTTTAATATTTTTATTTTTATTATTTTTATTATTTTATTTTTTATATTTTTAATATTTTTATTTTTATTATTTATTATAATTTTATTAATTATTATTATAATATTATTTTATATTTTTAATATTTTTAATATTTTTAATATTTTTATTTTTATTATTTTTATAATTTTATTATAATTTTATAAATTTATAACAAATTTATTATATTTTATTACTTATTACTTATATATACTTTATATTTATTATTAAGTTTATTTTAGAGATTATTATTTCAATAGGTTTATTAATTTTATTTATTTTATTTTTAAACTAAAAACCTCTTAAAACTTTTTATTATTTATATACCCTAATTATTATTTTAAATATTATTTAAATATTAAACATCCCAAAACTAATTATTATTTATATACTTTATATTTATTTTAATATTTATTATTTTTTAATTTTTTAATTTTTTAATTTTTTTATTTTTTTATTTTTTTATTTTTTTATTTTTAAACTAAAAACCCTATTTATTACTTATATATACTTTATATTTATTACTTATATATACTTTATATTTATTACTTATATATACTTTATATTAATTACTTATATATACTTTATATTTATTTTAATATTTATTATTTTTTAATTTTCTTAAATATTAAACATTAATTATTACTACCATATACTCTATATTTATTTTAGATTTATTAATATATATTTTTATTGAATATTTACCAATTAATTTATATTATATTTCTTTAAATAAGGGTAATTATAAACTCTATAATACTATATTTATTTTTTTAAATATTATTTTAAATATTATTTTAAATATTATTTTAAATATTAAACATCCCAAAACTAATTATTACTTATATACCCTAATTATTATTTTTATATTAAGTATATATTTTATAATTTTATAATTTTATAATTTTATAATTTTTATAATTTTATAATTTTTATAATTTTATAATTTTTATAATTTTTATTTTTTTTATTTCTAATATATACTATATATTTATAAATTCATATTTTGATAAATTTATATTTTTATTTATTTTTTTTATTTTAAAACTAAAAATCTCTCAAAACTACTTAATTCTATTATATACTTTAAATTTATTAACAAATTTATATTTTGATAAATTTATATTTTTAATAATTTTTATTTATTTTTATTATTTTTATTTTTTATTTCTAGTATATACTATATATTTATTAATTTATATTTTGATAAATTTTTATTTTTAATAATTTTTATTAATTTTTATTAATTTTTATTAATTTTATTAATTTTTATTAATTTTTATTAATTTTTATTAATTTTTATTAATTTTTATTATGTTTATTTTTTATTTCTAATATATTTTTAATAATTTTTATAAATTTTATTTTTATTTTATTTATTTTTATATTTATTATTAAGTTTATTTTAGAGATTATTATTTCAATAGGTTTATTTATTTTATTTATTTTATTAAATTTATTATTTTATTAAAAAATTTATTTAAATTTATAAAAAAAAGATATTTAGTAACTAAATTAAATAATATATACAATTAACAAATTAATATATAATAAATAAATTTAGTTACTAAATAATTTCAGATTTACTGAAGGAATTATTATAAAAAAAAATTGAAAGAATTTAAAATAAATTAATAATAAAAATATTAAAAATTATTTTTTAATTCAATTTTTGTTAGCATTTTCAAATGATGATACTATAGTATTAATATGATTATTTGAAACACTATTATTAATAACATTTATTTGTTTAGCAGGATTAAAATTGTTTAATGTTTGAATATCTGAAGATATTGTTACAATACTTTCTTCATCCATACATTTTTTTCTAGTTTTTTTTATTTCTGCAATTCTTGGCACTAAATTAGAAATAGTAAATAAATAGAATACTATTAAAATTACTAAAAATCAGAAATATTGTGATACAAAAGTTTCTATACTTAATTGAGGCATTTTTTATTTTATTTTATTGTTAATATTTAATATTTAATATTTTATCTCTTAAATATATTTCTATAATATATAAAGATAATCATTTTAAGAGATAAATAATATATAATTTTAAAAAATATACATAAATATATAAATAAAATTAATAATAATTAATGATAAAATATATAATAATGTATATTATTATTCTCTTCCTTTTATTATAAAGAAGGGTATTAATGTTATAATTTATATATTAAATATTTAATAAAAAATTAAAAAATTTAAAAATTTAAAAAATTTAAAAATTTAAAAAATTAAAAAATTTAAAAAATTAAAAAATTTAAAAAATTAAAAAATTTAAAAATTAATAAATTAAATATAAAATATATAAAATATAAATATTAATGTAAATGAATTGATTCACTAATGTAAATAGCAGTTAATAAACTAAATACATAAGCTTGAATTACAGCAACAGCCATTTCTATAATAGTAATAAATAATACTATAGCCATAGGAAATAAACTAGCTATTATCATAAATCCTCCTGAAGTTAACATAGTTCAAGTAAATCCTGATAAAATAGCAAATAAAATATGTCCTGCTGTTATATTAGCAGCTAATCGAACTCCTAAAGATACTGCTTTAGCTGTATGTGATATTAATTCGATTACTATCATAAATGGTGCTAAAATTAAAGGACTTCCTGCTGGCATAAACATAGAAAAATAATTAGATCCATGATTTACCATACCTAATAAAGTAACTCCAATAAAAATACTTAAACTTAATCCAAATGTTACAGCAATATGAGCTGTAGGTGAAAATGTATAAGGTATAATTCCAAATAAATTCATTAATACTATGAACATAAATACTGTTAAAATTCAAGGAAAATAAGCTTGACTTTCTTTATCTTTTCCAATATTATCTTCTACTACACCAAATACTGTTTCATATATTATTTCCATTACTGATTGTCATCTTGATGGTACTAAAGATCCTTCTTTTATTCCACTTACACTATATAACACTATTAAATAAATTAATGCTATAAACATAAATATAGTAGAATTTGTTATAGAAATATCTAAATTACCAAATAAGTGTAATGGTATGATTCTTATAATTTCAAATTGATCAAATGCACTATATGCCATTTTACTTCTTTTATTCGTTTTTATTTTTTTTGAGCTTTATTTTTAATCTTATTTTTATAATCCATATCTCATTTATATCCATATTTATATTTATATTTATATTGATAATATTGATAATATAAATTATATGCTCTTAATATCTTTATATATACTATTATATTATTATAATATTTTATTATATTGTATTATAATATTATATATTGATGAATTGATTAAAAATCTAACTATTTATTTATAATTTATCATTTAATATAAATAAATACTATTTTTTAATATTTTATATATAATATATATATAATTAATATTTTATATTAATATTATTAAATATTTTTTTATTAAAAACTATAATTTAATATTTTATATATAATATATATATAATTAATATTTTATATTAATATTATTAAATATTTTTTTATTAAAAACTAAAATTTATCTAAATTATAAATATATCAGTTAAGAGTTATTTATATATATATCTTCTTTTTTAATTATATTTAATCCAATTTTTTTAATTTATAAAAAATCTAAATTTATAAAAATAAATAAAATTTATAAAAATTAAAATAAAAATAAATTATCAAAATTATTATTTATCAATTAACAGTATATTAAGGAGTAAATAATTTAATTTATAAAATTAATCAAAATTATTAAAAATAAATAAATTAATTTAAATTACGAATTTGTATATAAATGTACAAACTATATAATTTTTATATATATAATAAATTAACTTAAATTACTAATTTGTATATAAATAATAAATTTGTTAAATATATATTATAAATAACTATATTTTAATTTATTTTAAATATTTTAAATATCTTTCTTATTTTATTAATTATTTATCTTTAATTATTTATTCTATTATATACTGTTTATTATTTAAAATTATTATTATTTAAATTATTTAAATTATTTATTTTAAATATTTTAAATCTCTTTCCTGAAAGGAAAACAAACTATTTATTCTATTATATACTGTTTATTTAAAAATAATTTTTATTTAAATTTATTCATCATTTATTTATTTTTAATTTCTTAAAACTATTTATTCTATTATATACTGTTTATTTTAAAATTATTATTTAATTATTATTTTATTATTTTATTATAAAATGTTATATTATTATATTTTTAAATATCTTTCCTATTTTATTAATTATTTATCTTTAATTATTTATTCTATTATATACTGTTTATTTTAAAATTATTATTTAATTATTATTTTAATTATTATTTACTTTATTATAATTTATAAATTTTAATTTTAATTTATTTAATTTATCAAAATTATTTATTCTATTATATACTGTTAATTTTAAAATTATTATTTAATTATTATTTTAATTATTATTTACTTTATTATAATTTATAAATTTTAATTTTAATTTATTTAATTTATCAAAATTATTTACTCTATTATATACTATAAATTTGTATTATTATAATTTATAAATTTTAATTTTAATTTATTTAATTTATCAAAATTATTTACTCTATTATATACTATAAATTTGTATTATTATATTTAAAAATCTCTTTCCTATTTTATTAATTATTTATCTTTAATTATTTATTCTATTATATACTATCTATTATATTATTATTTTTATAAATTATATTTTGATAAATTTTATATTTTTTATAATTTATTTTTATTTTTAATTTTTATTAATTTTATTAATTTTATTAATTTTATTAATTTTATAAATTTTATAAATTTTATTTATTAATATATTATATACTATAAATTTATATTATTATATTTTAAAATCTCTTAAAACTATTTATTCTATTATATACTATCTATTATATTATTATTTTTATAAATTATATTTTGATAAATTTTTATTTTTATTTATTTTTTAATTTTTATAAATTTTATATTTTTTATAATTTATTTTTATTTTTAATTTTTATTAATTTTATTAATTTTATAAATTTTATTTATTAATATATTTTTAGTGTATTATAGACTATTCATTTTAAGAGATTATTTTATTTTTAGTTTATTATTGAAATTTTACTACTAATAATAATTCTCCACCAACATTATTTTTTATTGCCTCTTCTTGAGTTATTATTCCTTTATTGTTTAATAATTGCAAATTATTTGAAGATGTTCTTAATAAATATATTTTATGTTCAGATAAATTCGAATATAAAGTTTTAATCCCTATTTTTGAAGTATTTATAGTAAATCCTTTTTTAGTATTTGACATACTTAATATTTCTTTATTTGAAATATATACTTTTCTACCAGGTTTTGATATTGGTTTTAAAAATACATTTGTTCCTAATTTTCCTAATTTATCATTTATTAAAAAATTTATTATTTTTTGATTTTTATTATTTTTGTTTATTTCTAATAATTTAATTACTCCTTCAGATTTTAATACTTTTAATATTGAATAATTATCCATATTAAATTGACATGTTAACATTTTTCTATAATTTGTGTTATTATTTATTTTAGAGATTAATTCATTCATTTTTTTATTTTTTTTATTTTTTTTATTTTTTTTATTTTTATAAAAATTTTATTTTTTTAATTTTTTATTTTTTTAATTTTTATAAAAATTTATTTTTTTTATTTTTTTAATTTTTATAAAAATTTTATTTTATTATTTTCCTATAATTAATTAAATTTTATATAGGAAAATAAAATAATTAATATTTTACTAATTAATTAGTTATTATATTTTATTTTTTACCCTATAATTAATTAAATTTTATATAGGAAAATAAAATAATTAATATTTAACTAATTAATTATAATTAACTAGTTATTATATTTTATTCTTTACTGTCATTCCAGGTATTAACCCTTCTGAAGCTAATTCTGTAAACATTATTCTAGAAAGTCCATATTTAGGTAAATTACCTCTAGATCTACCAGTTAATAAACATTTATTTCTTATATGACTAGTAGGAATTAAAGATAATGGATTTTTATCATTAAATTCATAAGAAATAGAACCTTTTTCTAATAAGTTATATTTAACTGATAATGGTAAAATTTGATTTTTTATTAATGCATTATATGTTATATGGTTATTTTCTTTATTAACGTACAATGTTCTTTTTTTAAAATCTAATTTTAATGAATGTGTCTTAAATTTTAATTTTATTTTATTCATTTTATTTCGTTTTTTATTTTATTTATTTAATACATTATTTTTAAATTCATATATTTATATTAATAAATATATATATATTGATATTTATATTAATAAATATATAAATTGTGTACAGTTTAGAATATTTATATAATTATTTATAAAAATTAAAATTTATAAAAATATTTATTTATTAAAATTAAAAATTTATAAAAATATTTATTTATTAAAATTAAAAATTTATAAAAATATTTATTTATTGTACAATTTAGAAATATATAATATATTAAAATTATATTTTCTTTTTTTATTAATAATAGGTATAGCAGGATTCGAACCTGCATACTAAATAAGCAATTGTGTCTAAAACAACCATGTCTACCAAATTTCATCATATACCCTAAATTTAAAAATATGATATTTTATTCAAATAATCTAATTCGTATATATTTTATAAATTAACTTGTTTATAAAAAATAAAAATAATAATATAAAAATAATAATATAAAAATAATAATATAAAAATAATAATATAAAAATAATAATATAAAAATAATATAAACATGTCCAAACATTTATTCAATAAATATACTCAAAATATTCATATAAAAATATAAAATTTATTTAAATATTAATTTATGAAAATAAAAATTTATAAAAATAATAATTTATAAAAATAATAAAAATATAAATTTATCAAAATATTAATCAATTAATATAAAGTATATATAAGTAATAATTTATAAAAATAATAATCAATTAATATAAAGTATATATAAGTAATTAATATAAAGTATATATAAGTAATAATTTATAAAAATAATAATCAATTAATATAAAGTATATATAAGTAATAATTTATAAAAATAATAATCAATTAATATAAAGTATATATAAGTAATAATTAGTTTTGAGAGATTTTTAGTTTAAAATAAATAAAAATAAAATTTATAAAAAATTAAAATTTATAAAAATTAAAATAAATAAAAATTAAAATTTATTCAATATTATATAAAATTAATTTATGGTATATTATAAAGTAAATAAATAAAAATAAAAATTTATAAAAAATTAAAATTTATAAAAATTAAAATAATATAAAAATAAATAAAAATAAATAAAAATATAAAAATAATATAATAAATATTATTCAATATTTTAAAACTAATATACTATAATATAATAAATAATAATACTAGAATTAAAATATTGATTAATAAAATATATAAATATATTGATGTATAACATAATATATTATAAATATTCTAATTTATAATAAATATCTATAAAAAAGTAGTTAAATTAATAACAGAAATATTTAATAAATCGAATATTGGATGAGGATAAACTCCTAAAATTATTGTTAATATTACTAAAGGAAATAAAACAAAGAATTCTCTTCGAGATACATCTTTAATAGATAATAAATGATAAGAATTATTAGATAAATAAGTAGAAAATGAACCAAAACAAACTCTATTATATAAAAATAAAGAATAACAAGCAGATAAAATTATACCTAAAGAAGCTAAAATAGCTACTGTTGTATTTACTTCAAAAATCGCTAATAAACATAAGAATTCTCCAACAAAATTACATGATAAAGGTACTGCAATATTAGCTAAAGTGAAAAATAAAAATAAAAATGAATATATAGGCATAGTTACTGTCATTCCTCTATAATATTTTACTAATCTAGTATGGTGTCTATCATATAATACAGTTACAATAATAAATAATGCACTTGAAACTAATCCATGAGCTAACTGTAAAAATATTGAACCCATTATACCATTAGCAGTTAAAGTAAATATACCTAAAGAAACTAATCCCATATGACTAACTGAAGAATAAGCTATTATTCTTTTTAAGTCAGTTTGTCGTAATGTTGTTAAACTAGCATAAATAACAGCTAATACTCCTAATATAAATACTAAAGGTGCAAAATAATGAGAAGCGTCCGGTAATAAAGGAATAGTAAATCTAATAAATCCATAACCACCTAATTTAATTAAAATACCAGCTAATATTACTGAACCTGCTACTGGAGCTTCAACATGAGCTTGTGGTAATCAAATATGAAATGGAAATTTTGGTATTTTTACTGCTAAACTTGCAAAAAATGCTAAAAATAAGTATTTTTGAGCTGTAGGATCTATTTCATAACCTAATAAAGTTAAATAATCTGTTGTTCCACTTATACTATATAAATATAATATACCTATTAACATTAAAACTGAACCTATTAATGTATAGAAAAAAAAATAATAACCTGCTGTTATCTTTTGTTCTCTAGAACCTCATATTCCTATTATTAAATACATTGGTATTAATACCCCTTCAAATAATATATAAAATCCAAATATATCTAATATTGTAAATACACCTATTAATAATATTTCTATTACTAAAAAACTTATTAAATAACCTTTTACTAATATTTTAACACTATCTCAACTAGATAATATACAAATTGGTATTAATAAAGTTGTTAATATTATAAATACTAATGATATTCCATCGATTCCTAATACTATATTTCAACTATTTGATGTTAATTCATCATTTATTCAATTTAATTTTAATATATATTGAAACTTACTTGTACTATAATCAAAATGAAATCATAATCTTAATGATTCCAATAATGTTAATATTGATGTTCCTAATGCTATTTGTTTACCTTTTTTTATATTTAATTCATTATTAAATGGTAATATTAATAATATTAATATTCCTATAAATGGTAATGCAAATATTGGTATTAATGTATTTCACATTTTTGTTTTTTATTTTATTTTATAAAATTTATAAATTTTATTTTTATAGTTACTATTTTAATTATATCCTCTAATTTATAGTATCTTCCTTTATAATATATATATTTTTTATTTTATATATAAAAAGGAAATATTATCATATTATTTATTCAATTATAATAAATATGATTTATATTTAATATTAAATATAATTTACTTAATTTATATTTAATTAATTATTATATTTTTAATTTATTTTTATTTTATTTTTTATAAATTATATTTTTATAAAAATTTTATTAATTATTATTTATATTATATTTTTATTTTATTTTTTATAAATTATATTTTTATAAAAATTTTATTAATTATTATTTAATTAATATTTTTATTATTTCTATAATATAGTTATTTAATATATTATTTATTATTTTATTTATTATTTTATTTATTATTTTATTTATAATTTCAGCAAACTCTTTATTAACAATTTAAGCAAATTCTTTATTTAGGATTTCATTTAATAAATAATATACTAATAAATTAACATTATTTATACTTATTTTTTTTATGAAATTTATTTAATTTATTTAATTTATTTAATTTATTTAATTTATTTAATTTATTTAATTTATTTAATATTAGAATTTCAGCAAACTCGATATTAATATATTAATATTTTATAAATTATTTATTTTATAATATTTTATAAATTTATTTAATTTATTTTATATTGAATTTCAGCAAACTAGATATTAATATATTAATATTTTATAAATTTACTTAATTTATTTTATATATTTTATATTTTATAAATTATTTATTTTATAATATTTTATTAATTTACTTAATTTATAATTTCAGCAAACTATCATTAATTCCCGTTATACTTAAATTAATCATGTCATATTAATATTTTTATTTATTTAATTTATTTTTTTATTAACTAATATTTCAGCAAATATTAACCTATTTTTATTCATTATTTTATTTATTATTTTATTTATTATTTTATTAATATTTTTATTAACTAATATTTCCGCAAATATTATCTATATTTATTAACATTTTTTAATTTTATTAACTTATTATTTTATTTTTTATTTATTATTTTATTAATATTTTTATTAACTAATATTTCAGCAAATATTACCTATATTTATTAACATTTTTTAATTTTATTAATTTATTATTTTATTGTTTACTTTATTCATATTTCAGCTAATATGAGCAAATATTATTTTAATAAATTTTATTAATAAATATAAATTTTAATTTTTATTATTTTATTTTTTAGTATTTACTTAATTCATATTTCAGCTAATATGAACGAATATTAATTTTATAATTTTTATAATTTTAATAATTTTTATTATTTTAATAATTTTTATAATTTTAATAATTTTAATAATTTTAATAATTTTTATAATTTTTATAATTTTTATAATTTTAATATTTTATTATAATTTTTATAAATTTTTATTTTTTATTTTTAATAATTTATTTTTATTTTATTTTATTATATTTTTTGGTTTAATATCCACAATATTTGAGATAAAAAAAAAAGAAAAATTATTCTATTTTCCTTAATGATCATTATTATATTAAAAAAATAATATAGTAATTTTCAAAAAGAAAAATAGAATAAATCTCGATTATCATTGTTGTTATATTTATTATATAAATTTATATTTTTATATGATATATAATAAATATTTATACTAATTATATTTTAAATATTAGTAAATAAAGAAAAATAAAGTTTAACAAACTATTAGTACAAATAAGCTAACACTTTTTGCCTATAAAACAGTAGTCTACTGTAGTTTTATTACCTATAATTGTGTATTTTTCAAACTTGAGATGCTTTCAGTTTTTATAAGATTAATCCGTAGCTACTCTGCGCTGCTTATATATATAAACAACAGATACACCATAGGGATAGACTTTTTGATCCTTGCGTACAAAAAAAGCCACACAATTAGTAATTCATAATTACAGATATAAGCCGAGCTGTTTCACAACGCCCTGAACTCAGATCATGTACCATATTACTGGACGAACAGTCCAACCCTTGAGAGCTACTGCAACCCTCAGGATATGGCAATCCAACATCGAGGTCACAAACTACAACATCGATATGAACTCTCTGTTGTAATTATGCTGTTATCCCTAGCGTAACTTAACTTATGATCGTTTACTTTTCCATTCAATATAAACGGGTCACTATCACCTTCGTTAGAACCTGTTTATCTTATCAGATTCACAGTCAAGCCTACTTATACGATTATGCTCTACTAATTATTTCAAATAATTATGAGTAGACCTATTGTAAGTCTTTGTTACATTTTAAAAGACTATCGCCCCAATAAAACTGTCTCTTATTTAAAGTTCCTTTTATTAAAAAATTAAAAAATATAAAAAAAATAAATTTTAATAATTTAATATTTTGTAAAGTTAGATATTAATGTTTATATAATATTGGTATTTCAATTATTTCTTAAATAATATACTGACGTATATTAAATCATAGAATAACCCAATTATTCTATAAATATATAACATTAATACAGTAAATAATAACAGTAAAGCTGCGTAGGGTCTTCTTGTCTTGTAATTATTATGTAGCATCTTAACTACAAATTCAATTTCATTAATTTTCTTTTTAGGACAGTACAAAGTTGGTTACCCCATTCATACTTGTCTACAATTAATAGACGATTGATTGCGCTACCTTAGTACGGTCATGGTTACCGCAGCCATTAAATTGTCTTTATATAAAAAGCTTTCACCTTTCATTTTAAGATACAATCATTGGGCAGGGGTCGCTTATAATACTTCCATTTTCATGTTTCTATAAGCTGTGTTTTTGGTAAACAGTCCACCTTGTCAATTTACTGAGATTCATATAATAATTCAATTATATAAATAGTCCTTATTGCGAACGTACGGACTCATTTTGCCGAGTTCCCTAAAAAGATTTAAATTATCACCTTAGTATATTCTACCTATTCACTTGTGTCAGATTTAGTACAGTATTATATGATTTATATTATTTCTAGTTTCATAATAATTAAATTATAAAAGTCATTATAAATCAACCCATTGTTTTTACTTCTTTCGAATATGTTAACTTAGGGACTGTATCAACCAACTATGTTTTTCAGTGAGTTGGAAACCTAGAATTTACGGTGTATCTTAATTTCAAAGATATTATCATTACTCATATTTGCATTGTCACTTTAGTTTATTTTACAATATATTAATTAATTAATTAACTAAACGATCTGCTACCTTGTAATTTATATAGTATATATTAAAATATATTAAAATATTAAAAATATAAAAATATAAAAATATAAAAATATTAAAAATAAATTTATAAAAATTATAAATAATTAATAATATTTAAAAATTAATTACAAACAAAGTTTCGGTTTTTTATTTAGTCACCATAATTTTTGATGCTATTTTACTAATTCTAATAAACTGTTACGTTTTTTTTAAAAGATGGCTGTTTCCAAGCCTACTTATTAGCTGTATAAGTAAAATAACGGGTCTTTAGCACTTAATAAAAATTAATGACCTTAACTATTGTTTAGGGCTGTTTCCCTTTTGACTAAAGACCTTATCACCTTTAGTCTGTCTGCCTAATAAATACAAAAATTATATATTAAAAATTATATAAATAATATAAAAAATAAAAATTTATAAAAATTATAAAATTTATAAAATTTATAAAAAATTAAAATTTATATAAAAATATAATAAAATGGGGTTAAAGGAATTAAGTATATTGCATAACAATACCAAAAATTCCATAAGAGCCTTACCATATAATTTATTAATTAAACGCTAGACCTAAATCTATTTCGCAGATAACCAGCTATCTCCTTGTTCGATTAGCATTTCACCCCTTTCCACAATTCATCCTAATTTATTGCAACAAATACAGGTTCGTTCCTCCAATAAGATATTATCTTATATTTCAAACTGATCATGGAAAGATCACAAGGTTTCGGGTCCTATTTATATTAACTTAAACGCTTTTTTTCACTTGGTTTCCCTAAGTATACATTTATAACAATTTATACTTGCTAATATAAATAACTTGCAAATCCATTATACAAAAGGTACATCATTCATATATTAATATATATGTTTGATTGCTTATAAATATTCGAATTCATGTTCTTTTCACTTTGCCTTGCAAATCTTTTTCAGCTTTCACTCACGTTACTTGTTCACTATCGGTGTTTAGAATCATATTTAGTCTTAGAAGTATGGTACTCCTTTTTTCAAACTTGTTACTATTCTACTTTATTAATCATTTTTATAACTTTATTTTATAATTACAGGACTATTACCTTCTATGGTTTTCACTCAAAAATATAAAGATAAATTTAATGATTAAAAGACTATTTAAATTTTCGCTCACCGCTACTCACTTAATCTCTTTTGATTTCTTTTCCTTCTGTTACTAAGATGTTTCAGTTCACAGAGTTTATTAAATATAATCTAGTTTTCTAGATAGGTTATTCTATTTTCAAAGTTTCTCTAATAGAACTATTTTTTTTACCTTATTATTCTAAACCCAAGCAATTCCTCGAATACTCGTTATTACTTTTATTTTTTTCTTTAAATTTG